TGTCTCGCTATACCGCTACTGTTGCTCACGCTCCAATGCACTCGCACTCGTGTCAGGGAGCTGACACGCCTTGGCGATCCAACACACCTTTTCGATCTTAGCCTGGTTAGGGCGGGGTTAGACATAGATTCTTTCCTTTTTACAGGTTTTTCCAATAATCCAATGATGGTTATCATATTAGAGTATAGTCCTTTTTAACACGTTTGGTCACTCGAATGGAGACGCAATCATTGTTTGCCTAACTGCACATGCGTGTTACTGGGGTGCAAATGACCCGTTAAACGAGCACTAATTACAAGTGATGATCCTCTTGGCCAAGCCAGTAAGAAGGCGAAGTGATCCCTCATAGTGATAATTGGATCTGAAATAGTGCGCCCAGTGACGTGCACTCTTCCCCCATCTGCCACCATTATAGGAATCACAATGGGAACACAAGATGAATGAATCTGTATATTTCGACGAAAATATAAGTCTTCAGTGAAATCAATGGACACAACTGACAATAGCATACACACAGACACAATCCGTTCAGCCCTCTGTAACACGCAAAATCTCTCTCAACCCGACCCCAAAACTATCCGCTAACTATCTCGTCTTCCGTACCTCAGAGACAATGTGCACCTAGTGCAAGCAAACATACCATCTTCATAGGGGATATCACCCAAGTTTAAACATAGTAATTATAATGCAGATAGTGTATAATTTGAGCACAGGGCGGGCCCAAAGTTAATGCCAAACCAACCTATGTGGTGGATGGGGAGCTATACAAGCGCTGGTGGCGTGATTTTGGCGGACACCATCCATATAATCGGGCAAAAACCACAATGGTAGCGCCATTATGCTGGTTGTCTGCTTCACAGCTGGGGCCCATTTATCCAGCCTGCAGATCTTCAGCAGGTGGATGCTATGGCATAGCTTTAATTATTTCTTGTCTGCTCAGGGTCCAGCAGAGAGCTGATTTATTGGCAAGCTGCACTATACTAACACCACGGGAGTTATCTCCCTTTATGCGTGGTGCCCGCCTCGTCCATCCACAACTTGGCCTTTTCTCGCCACAACATTACCCCCTGTTGTCATTCTCTGTCATTCAGTGTATATTAATTTCAACGGTCGTTTACGTCACCCCAGTGATCTCTCAACTATACAAATTTAATAGTGAGTGAGTGAGTATGGTTTCACGCCGCTTTTAGCAATATTCCAGCAATATCACGGCGGGGGACCCCAGATATGGGCTTCACACATTGTACCCATGTCGGGAATCGAATCCGGGTCTTCGGCGTGACGAGCTAACGCTTTAACCACTAGGCTACCCGACCGCCCCACAAATATTCCTAACCAAGCCACAGGACATCAATAATGAAAGCCACATTCCCATAGCCACAAGAAATCTCTGCTGAAAGTAAAGTCGATTTACAGTTTTGATTAAAGCATGGGCATGTGTTATTTTTACAAATTTCTTTCTATCAGAACATTTCACGGAACGTAAACACAATGACAATAATGAGTTCATATTTGTATTGCAGTTATTTATCACCTAAAGTATGGCCATGGCGCTTTACAATTATTACCCTGGTGGATGATGGCTAAGTGAGAATACATAGTTGATATTTCCTGTGTCGAGTGAAATGTCACGTTTCTCATGACGGGGGGAAAGGAGATATTTTCACACGTAGCTATGCCACACGTAAAACTATCTCCTTTCTCCCCGTCATATGATATTTCACGAGACACATGGAATATACTATTTATAATAAAACTTTTTGTGTAGTTGTCTACCGGATTTTGTTTTCATTACAAATGTAAAACATTGAAACGTAAATTCTCCCTACCTAACACGCAGAGGCGTTTCACCACCCGGTGTAATTGTGGCTTAATAAGTAGTTCCGACTTTGCAAAATCTTCAAAAATATAAACAAAAGTAACAACAAATATTTGAAGTCACTAAAATTCGTTATGATACATTTGGATATGAAAATATATATAATCTACTTCAACAAAAAATATTCTTGAAAGCTGACCGCTGACGGGAAGCGACGAAATACAGGCTTGATAAGTAACACTGAAACAAACAATCTCGAATGCTGAGTTAAATGAGAAAATTACAGTTTAAATGAAACATTTTTAAGAGAATAACAAACGGCAAGATGCAGTAAAAATTGCCAACTGTCATTATTTGGCCTTATCAATGTGGAACTAACGTAAACATGTAGTCAACAGTTTGTGTACGACACTTACGATAAAGGGAGACAATTGGCGGGGAGGTAACTCTAGTATGACAATAGTTCAGTCAAAGTGTTATGTTCACTGCAGTGAACTATCAAGCGGCATGTTCACTGCATTGAAATATCAAGTGTTATGTTCACTGCAATGAAAATATCACTTTTCTCAACTTCAGAAAACTCAGTCCCTCACACTGAAGTATAGAATAAAAGTGACATTAATCTCATCCAACAAGGTACACGCATACATGATGGGTGTTTTGATGCATTTGTCGAACAAAGTCACTTGCCCAAGGAAACTCCACACTTTTTATTACCTGTGACTCAACGTTTTTCTACTGCCGGGTGTTGCTTACCTTCGCCAATTTTTTTTTACCTGTGCACTTGGTGAAAGCTTCTATGACAACCGTACCTAAGCAAAAGTCAAATATGGCTGAGTCCAACTATGATGGGCTGTGCTGATATACGTCATCGTCATTGCATAATGCTTGCAAGTTAGTTCTTTCTTCAAGTTTGCATAGAGGTGGAGATCTGACGGTGCCAAATATGTTGAACACGGATGGTGTTCAATTCTCTCCATTGGAATCCCATAAAACATTAGCCACCCCCTTGCCCGCTGACAGAACAGATTTTGCTTTCTTCAGAAGAAGAGACGTTAGATGTTTTCGCTGCTTTTACTATTGTTTACTCTCTGGCTGGTCGTGGTGAACTCACGAATCATCCACGGTTTCAAATCGCTCGACGAAATCAGCTGGGTCTGATTAAAAACGACGTAATTTCTCACGACACCACGAGTCTAGAGCCATGAAACCAGCGTGCTGAAACGTTTGTCATGGTCAGTTCATTCATCAGAGTGGTTCAACTCTCTCATTAGAGATGGCGACTGTATCGGCTATGTGCTGAATCGTCGATTATCCATAATCACATGCATTTCATCAATATTTACGTAAGTGGTTGCAGAGAACGGTCTTACCAAGGCTCTTCTCTCTTCTCTTCTTCAGTTGGAGATACTTGATGACAGTACGGTAGCCAGTTTTGTACATTTACATCATTAACAGAGAACAGTTTAATGCCCACCGAATGCCCGTGGTTTTGTATTTGTTCCAATGCAGCCAGTGAGCATGGAAAGTATTGTACTTACTACTTACATACTCTGAAAGGTGTACAATACATACGAAGCTAGCCTCAGAACATGCCAGTCACCGCTTGTATCATCTAAAGCTTCCATGGAGTTTGGTAATCTACATGAGAAAATTGCTGGCAAGTTGGTACAATAAGGTTGTAACGGTAAAGTTTCATCTGAAAATGACCACTGACTTTACAAAATGGCTAGTCTGTATGAAAATATAGAGTACTAACTGTTTGTCCAGGTGAATATCACATTTCAAACATAAACAAAGTCCTAAATAAAAGCTGTACACTTTTATTCAGTCATATCCACAAAACAAAAAGTCAGTGATTTAGAGGTCAATTAAGAATACAAGTAACTCTTTTGTTTGTTGTTCTAAAAATCTGTTTTCTATTTATTCATTTTTTCATTCAACCTACAGTGTTTTTTTCAGAAACTACTTCAAAAGAGAGAGAAAAAACTTGTAAGCCAAGTTATCAGAAACAGAGGTCTTCACATACTCATCTTCAGTTGTGACCATCTTTGTAAGACGTTATTTAACATATTGCCTAAATTTACTTTTGAACAAAAGGCGGTAATTATAGAATGTCAATTAGAAGTCCGATTGTATATTCATAAGAATCATGTATATGCATATGTTTAAGAATCATATTTATTTTATTCGAACTTTGATGCAAAATGAACGAAAGGTTTCTCAAATATTTTAGACATCTTGTGACTTCTGTTTCTCAACTATAAAAATATATTTAATATGGTAAGAATATTGCTTCCATTGAGAAAAGTAATATATACTGAAATTGCATCATCAACATTAAGCAAAACATTATTCACACATAATTAAGATAAGATAATACACAAGCCGTTCATTCCACAATCGCACAAATAATCAGTCAATTTATGAAACTGCTAATCCAAATAAGTGAAAATGTGTAAAAAGCTTGAAATAAAATTAAGTATAGAGAGAAAGGTTGGCTTTATTTGTGTAGCTGGATTATATAACATAATCCTTGCAAGACTATACGAACCACCTAAGGGTGACATAGCAAACTCAACAAAGTCAGCGAGTGAGTTGCAAACATTTCGGCGATAGCTCAGCCATGATTCCAGCAATAAAACGTGTCATTATGACGTTGCGATTTTGCGAATTTGTTTCACACTAACACAGTAGGTGTGTGAATAATATATATGAAACTCTGGCGATCTGAGTTTCTCATAAGTAAATGTTTTCATGTGATAACCATAATTACACAAGTTAAATCAGTGTTCAGTTTGTCACTTAATACGCACTGGTACAATGATCGAACAAATGAAGATTTCCCTGTTAATCATTTGGTCAGTCACCGTTACTCTGAGAGTAGGTCTTTTATTTTGTCTACAAAATCTATTTCTCTCTTTGGCAATAACTCGCAGGACAAGTGTGTGTTACGATTATACCCACTGTTTACAATTATTGAACTACATGTATATCACATGATCAATATAGATGAAGCTTAAGTTAAACTTCTTTGCCAAATTCCAGTGTTTTGATTTTGCCAGTCCGAGCAGTAATTCCTATTCACATACAAAAAGAAAGAGAAAACGCATAATACCATTAAAGCTACTTCACTCGTTCACATGAATTGTCACAGATTAGGTATATATTGCCAACTCACAATACATTCCACTTCCTCCCACAGGCTCCAGGTACATGTATTCTACTGCTGCTGCTGCTGCTGTAAAAGGATACAGTCTGCTTTACATTTCTACCGTATTTACTTATTATTTGAAATATTGAGTTTTAATTTTCAAAATGCTACATCCAGCAGAACTGATAATTAGCTTTTGGAAAATACAATACTAACTTTGGTGTGAACTAGTTACCAACCTGTTGATATATTGATTTTAGTTCTGCACCAAAGTAAAACATTAAGACAGACACAAGACATGTTTCCTTAAGTTGTAGAAGCTATGAAGTTGAACGTTCATGCAGATGTTCCCATAAATAGATGGTCTTCTGTTTTAGCCGTTTCCGTCCAAAGGGTTTGGTTTCCTTTTGAACCATATCTAAAATACTATAGAAGCCACTGTTCTACTATTTTTATAATGGCTACGATCTTTTTCCCTTTACCCGTAAAGATCCTGCTCAGAAATGATCCTCAGCAACCCATACTTGTCGTAAGAGACGACTATCGGGATCGGGTGCTCCGGCTCGATGACGTGGTTGATGCATATCATCGTATCCAAAATGCGTACATCAATGCCAATGATGTCAATCACCTGATTTCATGTCCAGACTCGATTATTTACAGACCATTAAATAGCTGGAATATTGCTGAGTACGACTTCAAAGGACAAACAAACAAACATTATCACAACATTTTCATTTTAGCCACTTTTATTTCACATTCTCAGCAACATTCTCACCTTGTGGATGTTCCTTTAGATACTGTTGACGACAGACTCTCTACGCTGAACCTTGAAAGAAATGTTATGATATATTTACCTTGTTCCAAAGTACCTTCGTCCAGAGTGATTGAATTGCATATCTTGTTCAAAGGGACGTTGTCAGGACTCTTAGCAGGTGAAAATGATACTACTCGGACAATGCCAGCTATCTGCATCAATGATGTTATTTTCTTGAAACATGCCGAAACGAAGCTGATTCCAATCCTGACGAACCCAACATCTTTAGGTGTCTCCGCCAAGATGGAATTCAAAGAGGCAGCTGAAGATCCCATCACTTGTAGATCCTCTATCTTATCAGCTTTGCCTCTCATCTGTCTCGTGTATTCTGTAGAAGACTTCACTTTAGTCAGCAGCGTTACTGTGGAATCCAATGCCTCCTCTGTAGGCTTCAGAGCTTCATCTGACCTTCTATCAACTTCTGACAACATGATAGTCTTCCTTTGCTGCAATGCCTCCATCAGATGGGTGAAGGCTTTGTTGATCTCATCTTTGGCAGTGCTTCTTGATGACTTTATGCCGTCACATTTCTTTTGTAGATCTTTAGCTGCTTTTTCAAGAGCTATGCCCTTCTCATCTAATCTCTGCAAGACGTCTTCATTTTCAACAGCCTTACTTTCATGTGCGTTTTCAACAGACACAACGTTGTGCCCACTCCCTTTATCATGTTCCACTACAGTGCAAGACACACAGACGGTCTGGTCACAAGTGTGGCAATAGAACTGTAGAGGCTGGTGATGTTGTGTACACTTATGGAGGCGACGGAAGCTCTCAACTGGTCGTTCCCTCATGTCGTCAAAACTGACAGTTTGGTGATCTCGCATAGACTGAAGTCTTTTGTGGGCATTTAGACATTCTTGGCACAGGAAGACGCAGCAGTCATCACATCTGGACATGGCAGGGTTACCATCAGAACAATTTGTACATGGCAGATGAAGCCCTTTCACAATCTTCAGATGATCCAGGATTCTTAGGATGATAGGCTCTTTGGGCAGAGACTTCACACCGCCTGGCAGGTTATGTTGGTGTCGACACATGGGACATGATAACGTTGGGAGTCCTTTGCTGTACGTCTCTAGACAAGCCTGACATATTGACTGTACACAGCAGGGCATACGACGAGGTGTCCGTCTGGCCTCATCAAAGTGTTCTGTACATATTGGGCACTCGGTGAGGAGGTCCTTGATGGCGGACGCCGATACATAGTCCGACATGGTTATCTGGAAATATATATATTACATATGAAGCATTTTTGGATTTCCTATATATTTTTTGTCTTCGTCTCGAGACAACTGATTCGAAGTCATGGCTGACACATCCAAACTTGCACGCTACGTACACCACTTAAAACTGCAGGAAACCCTTCAATTTTCGAGCTGGTTTTATTGTTGTGAAAATGTTGGTAATGCTTATTAGCTCTACTGTTTACCTGTACAAAATTCAACATAATAAGGTTCATATTAACACAAAAAGACAAGAACAAGTGACATTGGTGCAGTTACAAGTTACAAGTTAAAATTATGAAAATGATATGATCAAAACAGGAAAGAAACAAATCTAAACTTTGTTACTTGTAAACTATTTTTGTTGCAGTAAGTGCATTTATAGCCAGCCTTTTTATATTTTGAACAACATTCTTATCTTGATAATAATGCATAACATCGCAAGTGAACATTTAATACTTCATCAATGTTACTAGTATTTCATGCTGCCACACATTGTTAAAGTAACATGATGCTTTGTAAAGAGGTCCCACTGCGACAATATTTGCTCAGTAGTAAATATTTACCAACACAAGCAGTAAACAACTATTTATAGCTGATCAAGTCAAGTCTTATTCTGATATTCCCAAACTATTTGCAGGATAATGGACACATGGAAATGTCGTAATGACTGCTATTTTGCTATTACCTAACCATTGTTTGATCATTTTGTTGCATAAATATCATTCCTGTAATTAAGGCTTTGTATGAAATGTGTATACAAAAGCTACCCCTAGGTTAACTGAATGAATGTGCAACATTCGGAGCTAGATCACTTTAAACTGTTTATTTATTTTCCCTTTACATTATACTTAACTGGCCACAATATTGCACTCGTTTGTAAATTATCACGAAAAGGTGAAGGAGAGGAACTAGCACTTCTGGTATAAGATATTAATCCATGGAGACAAAATAACAGGTAGGGGACATGAAGTGTACACTAGAACCCTTGGCTTTATAATGAGCTGATGAACTGATGACCATGGAGACAAATAACGGGTAGGGGACATGCAGTCTACACTAGAACCACCACTATCCCACATGACATTCTCAAGGGAAAACTTCATTCCTTGATCCATGGAGCTTTTGTTACAAAACGTGGACGTGAACACGGATAAAGTTATATATCTATATTCAGAGGTTCAGGACAATTTGTCAAAAAGTAAAGCAAATGGCATCTGAAGTTTACTGAGAAAACAATATGTGACAGGCTGGACTTCCTCATTGATAACATCTACGAAAGATTTTGGGGGTGAGACATTTAGGCAAGAAGTAGGCATCCCGATGGGCACCAACTGTGCTCTCCTTCTTGTGGATCTGTTTCTTTATGCACATGAATCGGAATTTCTGTTCGGATTGGCAAAGTTAAAACAAGGTAATTTGGCCAAGAAGTTTAACTTAAGCTTCAGGTATATCGATGATCTGATATCGTTCAAATAGACAATTCCCTTCCACTGATTTATCTACCTGAACTAGAAATAAAGGAGACCAGTGAGACCGCCTCATCTGTTTCATATTTGGATCTATGTATAAAGATTCAGTGTGAGAAAACACTCTCCAGAAGACTGTATGACAAGAGAGATGACTTTAACTTTCCAATTGTCAACTTTCTCTTCATGTCGAGCAATATTCCAGCAGCTCCAGCCTTTGGTGTTTACATTTCACAACTTTTGAGATACAATCCAGCATGCGCTTTCTATCAAGATTGCAAAGAGCGTTATACAACTCTTGCACAGAAGTTGTTTGATCAAGATTACAATATCCAAGGCCTCAGTAAAGTTTTCAAAGGACTTTCCAAATTGGACAAAAATGATATCGGATGCAATTCCCTATTTTGACTTGTACCATATTCTCCTGTGTTGTTTTAGGTGAAAATTTGCCTTGACTTTGCATGTGTTTGTGTTTGTAAACACATGCTCATGATATAGTCGGAATTGTACATCGAATATGCTTTATGCAGAGATTTCTATTGGTTATTGAAAGGGTTTTGTTGCTCTATTCCACTGCTTAAAATCAGTAAAGCAGTATTCCATTTGACTCATTTAGTAGTGTGATACTAGCTTCATAAGGCTTAAAATTTTCATCATTGAGTGTGCATACACTATAATATCCATCATATATAGCATGACGTTTCTTTATTAATATCTTCTTATTGCCTCGTGTTGTACTTATATTGGTTCACTGTGGGTAATATGTTATATCACAGAGAGCAACTTCAAGTTGCCCCACTGAGTTATCAATACCATGAAGCAGTTGAATGCACTGACCATATGTCATTGCCGGGAGTGTAACATACATATTAAATATATAAAGAAACTAAATTATAACTTCAATATGTATAATAGAAACATACAAGACTGGGATGTTTTATCCTGAATAGGCGTAACTGAGATTACACACCCAATGCTTTTAGTTCATGTCTCTGGTGCTCAGATTCCAACAAAATTCCCTGATACCTTTAGAAATTACAGGTTCACGCCAACAAACCTTAAAACAGGACATGCTTGGTTCTCCAATCCAATGTAGTTCTGTCAACACCAGCTAAACTTTGCTATATGGTGTGCCACAACAGGCTGTGGTGTGTCCGTTTGTGTAGGTCTCCTAGTTATAGGATATGGCATCTTTATATACGACGATCTAATGATCATCTTCACATAATTGATAAAACTTAGGACGCCATGGAAGTAATTTCAGGGCTGGACCTGGCCAAGAGTGTGGAATAACCGTACCCCAATCGTCTATACTACTCGTTGACCAATCAGATCACATCATTTTGACATGGAGGTATTATAAATTATGTTATTCTAGACATAAACTATTTGTAAGCTTAAGTCAAGGTGACCTTGACCTTGACAGTCAACCAATTGTATGCCAGAAAGCTCACCTAAACACATCAACAGTTGTTTCAGGTAAGTATGTCGTACGATTAAGTGCATTCGTTTAGATATAAATATTTAACTGATTTAAATACATACTGTCTGCACTGGTCAATGTTATTACAAATCAGGACAAGACGTTATTCATCAATTTGCAAAAGGTTACGATAAGTGAAATATCAAAATATTGAAAAACAGACTCCGTGTCCCTTATGGGCCACCGTAGGTTGTAGTATTCCAAGTCTGTACAGGTCATAGCAAGTCAAGATAGAGACACATCCATTATCAAATTACTAATTGGGTGTTCATTCCAAGTCTGTACAGGTCATAGCAAGTCAAGATAGAGACACATCCATTATCAAATTACTAATTGGGTGTTCATTCCAAGTCTGTACAGGTCATAGCAAGTCAAGATAGAGACACATTCATTATCAAATTACTAATTGGGTGTTCATTCCAAGTCTGTACAGGTCATAGCAAGTCAAGATAGAGACACATTCATTATCAAATTACTAATTGGGTGTTCATTCCAAGTCTGTACAGGTCATAGCAAGTCAAGATAGAGACACATCCATTATCAAATTACTAATTGGGTGTTATTTCCAAGTCTGTACAGGTCATAGCAAGTCAAGATAGAGACACATTCATTATCAAATTACTAATTGGGTGTTATTTCCAAGTCTGTACAGGTCATAGTAAATCAAGATAGAGACACATTCATTATCAAATTACTAATTCTGTGTTATTTCCAACTCTGCACAGGTCGTTGCAAGTCAAGATAGAGACACGTTCTTTTTCAAATTACTAATTCTGTGTTATTTCCAACTCTGCACAGGTCGTTGCAAGTCAAGATAGAGACACATTCTTTTTCAAATTACTAATTCTGTGTCATTGCCAACTCAGTCCAGGTCGTTGCAAGTCCAGCTAGAGCCTTAATAATTATCAAATTACATATATTGGGTGTATTATTCCAAGTCTGCAGAGATCATTGCAATTCAAGGTAGAGCATTATTCATTATCAAAGTATTTATTAGGTGTAATATTTGTCTCTTTGTTGTTGAACATCGCACACAGCAATATTTCAGTTATGTATCTAGATTAGATATTTAGCTAAAAAGCCAGATATTTTTATATTTTAAACCGAGAGCCTGAATTTGTTTCAAGAAAACCAACTTGCAACACTGAAATGTTCGTGGCAGGCAATTTCTTTTTTTTAACAGTATGAAGCATTATTATTGTTTTCATTAACTCACATGAAATGGTCGGCCCCAAAGTATGCCGCAACCCGTTACACCGGCACCCGGGACGCAATGCGACAAATGACTCACCCGATAGACAGGCGGCCAATAACAGCCCATTCACGTCAATACGTCAGTCCGACCCACGGTCAATAGTAGCAACCTAGCTACCGTCAGTAAGGAAAACAGTCGGACTCAAAGGCACGTGTAATAAAAGGCATACACACGTATTAAAAAGGGCATTCATAAGCATAGGCTACCGCCATTTTCGAGTAATAAAGTATCATATTTAATTTTCATATATACATAATTTCGAAATACACATGTAGATCAACACATAATATAAGGTATTTCGGTCGATTTTCAATAGTAAACTTTTGTGTTTGTGTGCTTGGTCATAACTTAAGTTGTATTGTGTTCAAAAGGACAGTTACAGAACTGGTTCAAAGTGAACTCACTGATAATTGAAATCACTTACCTTCGCAGATTACTGGGAACTGACATACAGTTCTTAGTAACTAGCTCTTTCTGTGTTTCATGTGTGTCAATAGCACCATCGTAGTAACATGTCTGACGCGAATGGGAAAGTCGTTACACCCCTGTCGTTTTAGTGACGGGTAAGACATGCGCTGTGTCTAGTTTCGTTTGGCAACGTTTGCTGGGACAATGTATGTCGCATTTGAAGCATCTTAAAATCATTTGATCCATATTGTAGTAAAGATCAATTACACTTTCTATGCATTAACTATTATATAAATATAAAAATCAGCTTTTTAACTAAAACAAGTAATGTTCCGTTTGTTTTGTTGTTGTTATTTTCTTGTTTATCGCCGGACTCAGCATTATTCCAGCTATATGACAGCGGCCTGTAAATGATCGAGTCGGCACAAACGTGGGATTGATATTATGAGCAACGTCGCACGCGATCGGTTGGTTTGGTTGGTTGGTTGTTTTGCGCCGCACTCACCAATATTTCAGCTATATGACGGCGTTCTGTAAATAAACGAGTATGGGCCAGATAATCCAGTGATTGACATCATGAGCATCGATCTACGCAATTGGGATCGATGACATGCATCAACCAAGTCAGCGAGTCTGACCACCCGATCCCGTTAGTCGCCTCTTACGACAAGCATAGTCGCCTTTTTACGGCAAGTATGGGTTGCTGAAGACGTATTCCACCCCGGATCTTCACGGGTCCCATGCAATCGGGACACGGTGACACGCAATGATCCAAGTCACCGATCCATTGAGTCGCTTTGTATGACAACTGTAGACCTATTTATGGGGACTGATTCTAACCCGGAATGCCCACGAAGAGATGATAGTTCATAACGAGTGTTCGGCTTCCTGGCGTCGTACCATGTAATATTGACATCTATCTATGGACAGCGTTGTCGTAGTGTGCCGCATCTCAAGGGCATAACTGAGTGAGTGAGTGAGTGAGTATGGTTTTACGCCGCTTTTAGCAATATTCCAGCAAGATCACGGCGGGGGACACCAGAAATGGGCTTCACACATTGTACCCATGTCGGGAATCGAATCCGGGTCTTCGGCGTGACGAGCGAACGCTTTAACCACTAGGCTACCCGACCGCCCCGGCATAACTGAACTAGTCATGACGAGAATGACGGGATTTGGAAATTGTTTTCGGTTTTTTAGTTTGTTGTTTAACGCCGCACTCAGCAATATTCCAGCTATATGACGGCGGTCTGTAAATAATCGAGTCTGGACCAGACAATCTAGAGATTGACATCATGAGCATCGATCCACGCAATTGGGATACGATGACATGCATCAACCAAGTCAGCGAGCCTGACCACCGAGCCTTATCCCGTTAGTCGCCTCCTACGACAAGCGTAGTCGCCCTTTAACGACAAGCATGGGTTGCTGAAGACCTATCTTCACCGGTCTACCAAGGTGTGCAATATACATTTGACACATAGCATGTGCACAGTCACGCTGGCCTGTTCCAGATAGTGCAAGGCATTGACATGTTTGTCCTGTTGAACCCAATTAGCATATCATGTGACCACCATCTTGAGGACTATTGGCTACATTGATCAGCATACAGACTACCTGTGTCACATCCAGGCTGTCAGTCGTGAAGCGCCCTGTATGACTGGAAGTAGTGAGCTTAGTGATGTCACTCCATTTACGGTGGACTATCAATCCGGAACATCAACCGGAATATCATACATGACATTTATTTAGATAAAGTACTGTGTATGCAAGATGATGTTTCTTTCTTAGCGATGTGGTGAGGTGAGTGAGTTGGTTGGTTTGTTGTTTAACGCCGCACTCATCAATATTCCAGCTATATGACGGCAGTCTGTAAATAATCATGTCTGGACCAGACAATCCAGTGATTAATGTCATGAGCATCGATCCACGCAATTGGGATCGATGACATGCATGAGCCAAGTCAGCGAGCCTGACCACCCGATCCCGTTAGTCGCCTTTTACGACAAGCATAGTCACCTTTTACGGCATTCATGGGTTGCTGAAGACCTATTCTACCCCGGAATCTTCACGGGTCGAGGTGAGCGAGTGCTTGTACTAGTCTGGACTAATGCTGATTTTACATGAATACCCCACTCACACACAGTATACTGACTATGAGCCGACCAGTCTTTGTTTTAGCCCCTTAAATTACAAGCGCGAGGCAGGGTAACAAGTACCATCTTTTAATGTATTTTGTTATGATGTGACCCCTGACCTTCCACTCTCCGGCCGGACGCTTCACCACTAGACCACGGAGGTGGTTATCTTTCTTTGAGTTTCCAAGGTTACTGTCTGGCGTTCTACATCCTAGATGACATCCCCAAGCCACGATTGCTTATCTGCGTCGTTTGCGCTGCGTTCTGCAATACCTTGCGTCCGTATTTTAAATGATAATTTACATACTAGCGGAAAAAGTCCTGTGCATCACTAATATCATGGGAAATAGTAAAAAAAAAAGCTAACAAAGAACGATTTTGCAACAATATATTGACCCCACGATGACGTTTGATGCATGTGTTGGCAGTACTGATGAATTCATTTTTCATGGACATCACTCTGTTGTCAATTCACTTGTCAGTATTTGATTTGGCCACCATTTGCAGTGACACAAGCTTGATAACGGCACCTCATTGGCAACATAAGATGGTAGAGAAAGGCTGTTGGGGTATCATTCCAGATCTTGACCAAGGCCTGTGGCAGCTCATCTTCCCAAAGCAAGAGAGTTAACTGACTTTAAAAGTCCAGTTTCCACCCTTGCCGAACTAGGCTGGAATTCCTGGGCTCGATCCTAGCGCCATCAGTGGCTATTAAGAGTTCTATGCCTCTCCTATGGACCAATCAGATTCCACCTCTCATATCACTTGACGCCCCGTCAAGACGATCTGGTCGATAATCAAGATCTATATTGTGATAAAACGAGTCTTACATCACGGAGTGCATCAAATCACGCGAGCAACTTGATTAAAAACATGAAAAGATTTAGAAAATATCTGTTGACAACGAGTTAGCGGTGCACATGCTTTGCAAATCCTCCAATCGACCGAAATCTGCATGACAGTTTACGAACCGGATTTCAATTTCGGAGCGAAATTTTGATTGAACTATGCATAGACTTGTTAGTCCAGCCAAAATGTAACTCCACAATACCAGCCTAGTTCGCCAAGTGTGGAAACGGGACTTTTAAAGTCAGTTAACTCTCTTGACTCGGGAAGATGGTCGCAGCTTGATTAATGTCAAAAGTTGGTTTGGAAGTCAGCGTAAAAAACAAGGTTTCTCTTCATCCAACATATGCTCGAGGACAGATCTGGTGAAACAGCAGGCCAAGGCAGCAACGGTCATATTTCCAGGTGAATATATCACACTTCAAACATAAACAAAACCCAAAAAAGAATCTGTATCATTTATTCAGTCATATTTACAATTCATACAATTATTTACACACACAAAACATTTGGATGGCATCATTCCACTTTGTGACTTGTATTTCCTGTCAAGTTTCAAGATTGATTAATAAAACTTTTCTGGGTAATTCCATGTTTGTTTAGAATGTGCATAGAACTTCATTAAAACTTTCCAGGAGGCAAAACATCACATTTACAACAAAGGGTTCAAATATAATACTGAAAAAAGTTAAGGACCACCTGATTCTAATATGTTACTATAGTTAATTTATCATGTCATAACCGATTAATATAAAGTAATTTGAAAGAATCAAGTGGCCGTCAATGTTTTTAGCAGTATATAGATAGGTACCTATAAACAGATACTAGTATATGATTTTACTGTGAATATTTTTGCTTCCATCACAAACCTCAAAACGCCTCTAGATGATGTTCAAGGAAAATCTGATTAAGATGGTCACATTATTTTTTTTTCTCAACCAATTAGGATAAAGCATTGTGACATCATTTTCCACTAGCCATTTTTGAACCACTTGTTTATGGATCTGCTTATACATAAAAATAAACAGGAAAGAAATGAACAGTTTAAAAAGTATTATTTTTTTTCGGACAGGTGTGGTAAAAACTACGTATCAGTGATTCAGAAAACTTCATGCAGGTAAATTTAGAAAACAACTCTTTCATTTGTGATTGAAAAGAATCCAGGTTCATTTTTCTTTCTTTATTTCATTCAACCTATAATTCTTTTCAGAAACCACTTCAAAAATATAAAAAAAACATCCCTACAGTTTGGGGGAAAAACTTTAAACCAAGAAACAGGGTTTTTTAGACAAACCTCTTCACCATAACACTGCAAGAAGATATGCAGGGTTTACAAATATATTAACAACAATTTACTTATGTACAATTTGTTTTGTTTGTTTAATGCCACTCAGCAATATTCAAGCTATATGACGGCGGTCTGTAAATAATCAAGTCTGGACCAGACAATCCAGTGATCGACATCATGGGCATCAGTCTATGCAATTGGGATACGATGACATGCATCAACCAAGTCAGCGAGCCTGACCACCCGATCCCGTTAGTCGCCTCTTACGACAAGCATAGGACGTTTTATTTAACCGTTTATATACAGATAGATACAACACAACACACAGCGTAGCACATGGTAGTGGGACAAAATACAGGAATTACTACTCAAAAGAAGTTAAAGAACTACCAATTCTTTCACATTACTTTTGTTAACTTGTCACAGTAAAATGAAAGAAAGGTTCTTTATCATCTTTTGAGTCAGTCTGTCATGTCATGACAGATTGAACTACAGCAAGTTGAAAGCATTGGGTGTTCTTTAATTTCTTTTGAATAGTATATTTACATATTCATCATATCAGCAATGAAAAACATTTTATTCTAACATGAGTTGTTAGAGGATCATTTGCATTCTAACTGTTCATGGGGGGCACGGGTGGCCCAGTTGTCTGAGGGGCCGCGATTCGCTGTGCAGAGTTGCGTCCTCAGATCTTTGTTTAGCAGTAGCGCGAACATAGATCTGATTTGAATGAGATTGGAGTACATCTGGTAACTGTTTATTTACAATGTCGGCAAACTGATTTTTTATTACTGCCAAACGCCGTCTGGTTCCAAATTAAATTACCTAACATCAAATTTTGAATTACAGTAGACAAATACATATTGTTTTTTCTCCTAAATATATAGAAATTGGAATAACAGCCTCGCACAATAGTGTATCAGGTACTCAGTCATCAGTGATCGTTATTTTAAGTTGAACTGTACAAGAACATGATATCTAGACACATGCAATACGTTCATCAATACTCGCAAGAACAGATCTTTAAATATTAGCAAATTATTTTGATGACAATTTTATAACAGACCTTTAGCAGTCACCAGATACACTGCACAACCTGGTGACAGATCCAGTGATGACTGAGAGCGAATGTTGTTTGATGCCACAGTCGGCAATGACCCATGCAGTCACCGCACGACACACAGCCAGGTCGCACACTAACCATCACATCTTTATTAGTCGGCCAATGTACATGGAGTAATCTAAGTGATAGATGAAGGATATTTGGCCAGCTGAGTGAGTGAGTGAGTGAGTATGATTTTAAGCCACTTTTAGCAATATTCCAGCAAAATCATGACGATGGGGGGGGGGGGGGGGACGAGGACATCAGAAATGGGCTTCACACATTGTTCCCATTTCGGGAATCAAACCCAGGTGTTCACAGTGAAGAGCGAGTGTCTAAACCACTAAACTACCCCACCGACCTTGATAATTGTGACCAGTTGGTAAATAGAACCTGAATGATCGGGTGACAGGCAAACAACCTAACCACTGGGCTACCTAACTGATCCTAGTAACTGCCAAAGAAGAGCACTTGTAGAAATAAATAGAAGCTGACGAGCTGGACTCATGTCTGTAGCAGGTTGAGGAGGGCATCGAAGAACTTGCTCCTGTCATCCGTCTTCATCTCCATCACTGAAACACAAACAGGTACGGGGTCATCAGGGAGGTACCACACAGGCCTCTAGCATCAATCAATGTATTCCTTGCAGTCCACAGTAGCATGTCTTTAGTATGGTTTGGGCATACAGGGCTTCAAACCCATAGTCAGCAGATCCTGACACAACTTAGGGACACAACTCTGCACAGTGACTTTGGATTGACTTAGAATACTGGGCCATCTATGCTCCGTCTAGTATGAACTACTTGTCTAGAGATACATGAGTAGTCATGATTCACTGATTTATTGATGCACAGTAAATTTACACTATCACGATGCGAGAACCTATGCACAACATAGTTTTGTATTGATTTTCAAAAGGTAATATTAACGAAGTTTTGCAATAACCAGGCTCACATTACCTCCCCTCCATTCATGAAACAAAATGCTAAGTCTGATTGAATAATACCTTCAAAACAAACCTGTCATGGCAATTAGACAGTGAATTTCATGCAAACATTAAAAAATTAAGTATGAATGTATTGTATCATGACAGTATTGTCAGGGATGCCAACCCTAGCTGAAGCTTTTGAGTAATCAGTGGTGTAAGAGAGAGTAATTTCATCTGACACAGAGTAATGGTAACAGTACAGTATCAATGACTTGAGTGTGTTTTAGCACCCAATGAGAGATCCATATCACTGTTTATTTTTCGTTAGTTGTTTAACATCGCACTCATCAAAATTCCAGCTATATGATGGCGGTCAGCAAATAAATGAGTCTCAATCAGGTGATTGACATTATAAGCATCGATCATTTGGGATACGATGCCATGCAATCAACCAAGTCAGCGAGCCTAACCACCCAATCCCGTTAGTCGCCTCTTACAAGTATAGTCGCCTCTTATGACAAGCAAGGATTGGTTCATTGGTCACATCACTGAGGGATGGATACTTACACTGTGTGAATTGAAAGCATGGCTCTCATTGGTCAGCATAGTCTCGCTGTAAAATAGTTCATGTCACCAGTGCATTAACAATTTGCTCTCCAAAATATTTTATGCATGTAAATAAATTTGTGACAAAAATGACCAAAATGGCAAAAGTGTTATTTGGGGGGAGGACCAGTGTAATAGTGTAAGGTTAGAGTCAAACTCATCACTATTATGCGAACATCCTGAGGGATGGCATCTCTGTATTGTGAGTGAGTGAGTGAGTATGGTTTTACGCCGCTTTTAGCAATATTCCAGCAATATCATGACGGGGGACACCAGAAATGGGCTTCACACATTGTACCCATGTCGAGAATCGAACCCGGATCTTCGGTGTGACGAGCGAACGCTTTAACCACTAGACTACCCGACCGCCCCTGTACAGTAGTTGTATCATGATCCCCCTGATACCACAGATACTGATATAACGATCCTACCATGGGAGTCAAAATAGTCATGGTGAGTTCGGGAGTTGGTGCTTGCTGCTGCTTGCTCAAACGCCTTTCCAAAGAAGCTGAAATAAATATACATAAACATCATACATCATCATAAACATCAATCACCTTCACTGAATAAGAGTTGTTTTAAATAAACAGTAAAGAGTTGACATATTCGTTTATTCTTCAGATTTCTCCAAATTAGTAAACAAAGTTATTAAAGAAGCTGCTAGCAGCTAGAATTTATGCATCATTTCCGGATCCAGCATCTTTTAAACAGTGGGGTCCAAAATATCAGAATCCTCTCTCAGATAATTTGACTGCCTATGTGTGTGTGTTGGGGGGGGGGGGGTGTCTGGACCCCCTTTGGATCTGCCTCTTGTGTCTCTCAACAGTCAGTCAGAGACTTACTTCTTCCTCTCATCGTCCAGCTCAAGAGGAGGGATGCCGATCACCAGCGTCGTCCCCTGCTCCGTGTTGAGGGGGGCGCCCAGCACTAGGGGCAGTGACCGCGCCTTCTTACTGCGACTCTGTGAAAAGCATCATCACTGATCAGAAGATATGTATCTCGGATTTCAAACAAATTGCCAGTGCTAGGCAAATCGGAAAAAAAACATTAATCAAAAGTATTGGTCATTATAATAATAATCTGTGCTAGGCAATTATTAGTTCAAATTGGATCATTTTTACTGATATTTATGGGGATGAATATGAGCCTATGAGAACCCCTTGCTTACACCATGTCCACACTCTACGATAGCTCAATGAACTCACACAAAATGACAGTTATCAATAATATTCAAAACTATTTCAAAGAATTCTTCAATGTCTATATTAAAACAGTATTCTCACCACAGAGCAGTGGGCTTCTAGTGTGAACCGAGCCAGTCGGATGAGGCAGTTGACTTTGGAGAAAAACTTCACATCTGCTGTTCCCTGAAACGTGAACGTAAAAACAAAGTCTTGTTAGAAAGCATGTGCAGTAAAGTGCTTGAATAGCAGCTTCATCACTGAGATACTGTCAGCTGATTTTGTAGGAAATAGCAATGAAAAGCAATACATTGTTGTCATGCTTACTGTCTGCTCACCTCCTGTATGAGGGCGTGGAGGAAGGGCCTGGCTGTCTACTCACCTCCTGTATAAGGGCGTAGAGGAAGGGCCTGGCTGTCTACTCACCTCCTGTATAAGGGTGTAGAGGAAGGGCCTGGCTGTCTACTCACCTCCTGTATAAGGGCATAGAGGAAGGGCCTGGCTGTTTGCTCACCTCCTGTATAAGGGTGTAGAGGAAGGGCCTGGCTGTCTACTCACCTCCTGTATAAGGGAGTAGAGGAAGGGCCTGGCTGTTTGCTCACCTCCTGTATAAGGGTGCAGAGGAAGGGCCTGGCTGTCTACTCACCTCCTGTATAAGGGTGTAGAGGAAGGGCCTGGCTGTCTACTCACCTCCTGTATAAGGGTGTAGAGGAAGGGCCTGGCTGTCTACTCACCTCCTGTATGAGGGAGTAGAGGAAGGGCCTGGCTGTCTACTCACCTCCTGTATAAGGGAGTAGAGGAAGGGCCTGGCTGTCTACTCACCTCCTGTATAAGGGCAAAGAGGAAGGGTCTGGCTGTCTACACACCTCCTGTATAAGGGCGTAGAGGAAGGGCCTGGCTGTCTACTCACCTCCTGTATAAGGGCGTAGAGGAAGGGTCTGGCTGTCTACTCACCTCCTGTATAAGGGCAAAGAGGAAGGGTCTGGCTGTCTACACACCTCCTGTATAAGGGCATAGAGGAAGGGCCTGGCTGTCTACTCACCTCCTGTATAAGGGCGTAGAGGAAGGGCCTGGCTGTCTACACACCTCCTGTATAAGGGCAAAGAGGAAGGGCCTGGCTGTCTACTCACCTCCTGTATAAGGGCGTAGAGGAAGGGCCTGGCTGTCTACTCACCTCCTGTATAAGGGCATAGAGGAAGGGTCTGGCTGTCTACTCACCTCCTGTATAAGGGCATAGAGGAAGGGCCTGGCTGTCTACTCACCTCCTGTATAAGGGCATAGAGGAAGGGCCTGGCTGTCTACTCACCTCCTGTATAAGGGCATAGAGGAAGGGCCTGGCTGTCTACTCACCTCCTGTATAAGGGCGTAGAGGAAGGGCCTGGCTGTCTACTCACCTCCTGTATAAGGGTGTAGAGGAAGGGCCTGGCTGTCTACTCACCTCCTGTATAAGGGCGTAGAGGAAGGGCCTGGCTGTCTACTCACCTCCTGTATAAGGGCGTAGAGGAAGGGTCTGGCTGTCTACTCACCTCCTGTATAAGGGCGTACAGGAAGGGCCTGGCTGTCTACTCACCTCCTGTATAAGGGCATAGAGGAAGGGCCTGGCTGTCTACTCACCTCCTGTATAAGGGCGTAGAGGAAGGGCCTGGCTGTCTACTCACCTCCTGTATAAGGGCGTACAGGAAGGGCCTGGCTGTCTACTCACCTCCTGTATAAGGGTGTAGAGGAAGGGCCTGGTTGTCTACTCACCTCCTGTATAAGGGCATAGAGGAAGGGCCTGGCTGTCTACTCACCTCCTGTATAAGGGCGTAGAGGAAGGGCCTGGCTGTCTACTCACCTCCTGTATAAGGGCGTAGAGGAAGGGTCTGGCTGTCTACTCACCTCCTGTATAAGGGCGTAGAGGAAGGGCCTGGTTGTCTACTCACCTCCTGTATAAGGGTGTAGAGGAAGGGTCTGGCTGTCTACTCACCTCCTGTATAAGGGCGTAGAGGAAGGGCCTGGCTGTCTACTCACCTCCTGTATAAGGGCGTAGAGGAAGGGCCTGGCTGTCTACTCACCTCCTGTATAAGGGCGTAGAGGAAGGGCCTGGCTGTCTACTCACCTCCTGTATAAGGGCGTAGAGGAAGGGCCTGGCTGTCTACTCACCTCCTGTATAAGGGCGTAGAGGAAGGGCCTGGCTGTCTACTCACCTCCTGTATAAGGGCGTAGAGGAAGGGCCTGGCTGTCTTCTCACCTCCTGTATAAGGGCGTAGAGGAAGGGCCTGGCTGTCTACTCACCTCCTGTATAAGGGCATAGAGGAAGGGCCTGGCTGTCTACTCACCTCCTGTATAAGGGCGTAGAGGAAGGGCCTGGCTGTCTACTCACCTCCTGTATAAGGGCATAGAGGAAGGGCCTGGCTTTCTACTCACCTCCTGTATAAGGGCGTAGAGGAAGGGCCTGGCTGTCTACTCACCTCCTGTATAAGGGCGTAGAGGAAGGGCCTGGCTGTCTACTCACCTCCTGTATAAGGGTGTAGAGGAAGGGCCTGGCTGTCTACTCACCTCCTGTATAAGGGCATAGAGGAAGGGCCTGGCTGTCTACTCACCTCCTGTATAAGGGTGTAGAGGAAGGGCCTGGCTGTCTACTCACCTCCTGTATAAGGGCGTAGAGGAAGGGCCCAGCAGAAATGACCTGGTGCATGTCAAGGAAAGTCTGGACCTGTGTGACCACGGCCTTCAGCTGACGCTTGGCCAGTTCCAGGCCCTTCTCTAGAGCAGCTACATTAGTCCTGAAACATCAACACATCAATGATAAGGGATATTACACACAGGTGGACTGTAGTGTAGATTATGGTCTGTTTGTGAAAGGAAAATAGTACACTTAAATAAGCCTGTAAATCATCAAGCCTGGACCAGACAAACCAGTGATTGATATCATGAACAAAAATGCACAACTTTGGGGTTCGACAAAACACAATCAACTAGGTCACCAAGCCTGACCGTCTGATTCACTAACTTGCCTTGTGTGATAAGGATAGATGACGGTAACATGGCTGTAACATGAGTCTATAATATGGGGCTGTAACGCAAGCTGTATCATGGGCCGGTAACATGAGGCTTTAAAATGAGACTGTAACATGGGACTGTAACAAGGGCCAGTAACATGTGGGTGTAATACAGGGCTGTAACTCAAGACTGTAACATTGGATGAGGCCATAACATGAGGCAGTAACCTGAGTCTGTAACATAAGTCTGTAACATGGGCCTGTAACATGAGCATGCAACAATGCTATGTAACATGAGGCTGTAACATGGGCCAGTAACTCAAAGCTGTAACATATGCCAGTAACATGAGGCTGAATCATGAGTCTGTAGTGGGTCCTGTAACATGAGGCTATAACATTGACCTGTAACTTGGGTCTGTAACATGAGCCTGTGACATGGGTCTGTAACATGAGGCTGTAAAATGGACTAGAGACATTCGGCTGTAACATGGGTCTGTAACCTCGGGCTGTAACATGGATTTATATCATGGGCCTGTAACAAGGTCCTGTAACATGAGGCTTCATCATGAGACTGTATTATGGGTCTGTGACATGAGGCTGTAACAAGGGTCTGTAACATGGACCTGTAACAAGAGCCTGTAAACACGGGCCTGTAACATCAGGCTGTTATGTGGGCCTAAGGCGACCCTCATACATTCCAATGCCTGACTGATTAGCCTCTCAATCATGTTAAAGCCTATCCGCAGGATATAATGTTTTTGCACCCACACTGAGTGGTCAGTTTCTGTGATAAATAGTTAACTGCCCACCTTGTTAGAATATCGACTGCATCCAGGAAACTGTCATTGGGGGTCTTGCCTTTCTCCTACAACAGAACAACAGCTTCTGTAACAGTGTGTTTTTCTTTATCGGCTACGGATAAAAGTTAAATTTATATTTCTGTTAGCCAATACCAGCACTGAAAAGATTTCTTACTTTTCAGAACACACTTTTATAAATAATAACCTGCAAACCAAGTAGTTATGTAAAGCCTAAAACAAAACTAATTGATAGCAATAATTAGGATAATATAGCATAGGGGCTACCCAGATGCAGCAGGTATCTCATACTTGTTTGCTTGTTGTTTAACGCCGCACTCAGCAATAGGCCAGCCTTATGATGGCGGTATGCAAATAATCAAGTCTGGAGCAGACAATCCAGAGATTGACATCATAAGCATCAATCTACGCAATTGGGATAAGACGACAACCATCAACAAATTCAGCAAGCCCGCCACCCTATCCAATTAGTCGCCTCTTAAGACAAGCATAGTGGCCTCTTAAGACAAGCATGGGTTGCTGAAGGCCTATTCTACCCTGGATCTTCACTGGCCACAAATATGAATATGCGAAGCTAGCACCATCAAAACATCCCAAACCATTCCAAATCAGTCAGGGTGCATGTCCAGACATACAGTGGCCTAGCATGTAAATCGCTGTAGAGAATGTCGACACTGGGCATCGGAGGGACGCAAGCAGTGGGTTTGGATCCCAGGTTTAGATCCCGTTAGTCGCCTCTTACGACAGGCATCGGTTGCATACCCAAATTCTAACCCGGAAATTCACGGGGAGATATTTAATCATTCCCTACAGTGGTCTCAAGAATTTAGAAAGCGGAGGAAGGGTCTTTTTAAAACAGCTGCACTTACAGTTCCCTCTAATACTGCACAGCAAGCATACACAGCGTCCGTGGCACACAGCTTGTTCCGGTAGCCATATTGGGCTGAGAATGATGGGATGACAATGTCCTGCATCACCAATCTGGATGAAGCAATTTAAAAGTCAGGTAATGCTCTGCTTCAAACACTATTCAAGTTACATCACCGCATACCAGTTGACTATGGGACGAATGTCAAAAGTGACAAAAGTTTTATACTTTTTGCTTTTTTGGAGAAACCAACAAGCGTAGGAAAGGTGCTTACACACCATATATATTACTCCACATTTGAGAAGAACACTTGGCTATGTCATAATGTTACGTAACTAGACACGGCAGGTGGTGTCCTTGAATTGTGTACTTTTATTAACTGTAAATGAAGCTGAACAGGCTCCGACCACATGGCAATATGGTGAGATGAAATGGGGTTTAACGTCGCTTCGAAGATTATTGCACTTATATAGCGACGTGTGTGTCCGGGATTCAAACCCACAATCATAGATTTCTGGCATGTCCCAGGCAAGCAACTCTGCACAGCGAATCGCAGCGTCTTAGACGACTGGACCAAGGTTTCAGGAGAGCCCAAAGGACATGACTGCATACCGTGCCCCTCCATTATTTGAATCATTATTGATGAGACAGAGGCAGGTAGATCCCTTTTACTACGCGTGGAGGGGGGCCGGGGACTGACCCGTATTTGTTCATCTGTTCCTGTATCATGCCCTTGATGTTCCCCTTAAGCTCTGTGTCCATGGCCGAGAACTTCTGCTTGCACTGGTTCAGGGGCATCCTGAAGGAAGGAAGTAAGGAAGGAGTGGATGAGTGAGGGGGTGAATGAGTGAAGCTTAACCTTGACACAATCTATGGATAACAACTTCTTTATTTATTAGGTGAGGTGAGGTGAAATGGTGTTTAACGTCGCGTCCAAGATTATTGCACTTATATAGCGACGTGCATGCACGTGTATGTGTGTTTGTTTGGCTGCTTGTACTAGTCCGGACTGATGCCGATTTATAGTGCTAGCTCACTGAGATACCATGCCGCAGTTTAACATGAATACCCCACTCAGACACAGTATACTGACTCCAAGCCGACCAGTCCTTGTTTTAGCCCCTTAATGCCGAGCGCCAGACAGGGTAACAACAAGTACCATCTTTTAACGTCTTATGGTATGATGCGGCCGGGGATCGAACCCCCGGACCTTCCGCTCTCCGGGAGGACGTTCTACCATTAGACCACGGACTCTTTATTTATTAGGAGGAAGACCACGGTCTCTTTTTTTATTAGGAGGAAGAGCCTTTGTGACACTTCTGTTAGCTCAGTCAGTACACAAGGTAAGTTGATGGAGAGAGCATGTTTATTGGCAGCACTCATACTGAGAACATGGGTTTAACAAATAACTGCAAATACACTGCTATGTGCCTCTTGCAACCATGTGACCAACGAGCCGACAGTAGTGAGTGAGTGAGTTGGGTTTAACGCCGCTTTTAACAGTATTCCAGTTATATCATGGCATGTCAGCTTAATGTGGGAGGAAAGCCCGAAGTGATGCAGGTCTCATACGTTTACCACTTCAGTGAAACCCACGAGCACGGGTATGGTCAGCGTTAGAAATTAGAACTAGTCTTATAGTCCTTGCCAAACTGCCCAATGGTAAAGGTATCATAAGGACTAGTAGTAATTTGCCTTTTTTAAGGGTTTTGATATATGTTATCATTATAAGGACTAGTGGCCGAAAACTGTTAGTTTCTAACCCTGTATGGTGCTGACAAACCTAGAAACATAATCGGGCCCAACCGGGATTTGAACCCAAAATCATAGGTTTCTGGCATGCCCAAATGACGCAACTCTTCACAGCGAATCGCGGCGCCCTAGACGACTGGGCCACCCATGCCCCCCTGAGCCGCCAGTAGAGAGATATATAACGGAAAGAAAATTTGAGCAGAACAACCAGCCCCAAGCCACTGTGAGTGTTTGTGAGTGTTTGTGATTGTGTTGTTTAACACCACGCTCAGCAGTATTCCATCTATATGGTGGGACCTGTACTAAACAAGTCTGGACCATATAATCCAGTGATTGATAATGTGAGCAACGATCCACGCGGTTGGGGTATGATGACACACAATCAACTACGTCACGGAACCTGACCACCCAATCCACTAAGAAACTTCATTTTCTAACACAGAATTCCAGCAAGACCCAAAACCAAAGCCTAAAACATTTTCATCTGTTCATGACCTAGTTTGTAACAAAATTTTATGGAGCTGAACTACACCAGAGCTACAGATAAGAAGCGTATTTGCGTAAAATACCACCTCACCCCACTTTAAAAAAAAAAATTCAATACCCAATTACCGTATTCGACGTAATAAGTGCCCCGCTCTAATAAGCGCCCACAGTGACTTTTGCTAATATATAGGCTAGTGACCAATCTCAATTAGCACCCCTTCCGATTGATCAATGTACACAAGACTTATTTATTCGTGTATAACGCACTCCTGTGTTATATGCACCCATAATTATGGAAAATTAAATTATGGAAAAATATATCTTTCGTACATAAATATTTCACCATAAATAACGATATTTATCTTTCAAATCTTTTTTTTTTTTCACCAAAATAATATTTTAATAAGAGCCCTATATTTTTAATTTTGAGAGCGCTCTGGGCACTTATTACGTCGAATACGGTACTTGCAATTAACTTGCGTACAGAAATGCATGCATGAAATGAAAAACTCAAATTATAAAAACACCATGCGTAAATACCCTACGAAGCTTTTTCAGCATCTGCACAAGGGAGCTAATTTCCAAAGTACAATTACGAGCTGATTTACTTTCAAAGTCAAGCCTGCAGTTAGAACCCTTATATACATCTAAAACATTATTTTATTTTTTTTGAAATCTCAAAATGTTAGCTCATTTGGGAAAAAAAACAAAAGAGTGATGAATAGATAGGTGAAAAAATATTGGTTACCCAATGAAACGTAATAACCCAATTAAAATAGAAACCTTCGAGTAAAAACTCATTTGCTAAAAATAATTATCCCTTATTTTCTCATGGAACGGCTGATCTTACCCCATCTCGGCCAGGAATTCATTGAGTTTCTTCTGTCCCTTGAGCGTCCACACCTTGAACTTGCACGCCATGCCGACCGAGTGACAGATGGACTCGAACAGAGACCAGTGGCGGTACATCGTCAGCGTCAGTTCCTCGTCAAACACGATCTTCAGACAGTTGATGGAGATGAGGTTCTCCTCATCGTCTCCTCTATAACCATGGTAACATAGCAACAGTTATACTGCAGTTGGGAATATGAATTCAGTATTTTCCAAAATGTCCAAACTCATTTTTGTATGCAGGTATGATGTCTTTTATTAACCAATAGAAATCAAGTATTCTCTAAAGTCATGGTACATTTAGGAGATAAAAATACTGAGTTTTCAATGTAGAGCTAGGTTACCTGTAGATTTAACCAGACTAAATTGAATTTGGAACCGAACGCACAGCTTGAGGTTTCAATTGTTAAATTTAGCTGTTTTCAGCACGAAATGTATTTTGCCACACATTCGATGGTGATAGATGATAGTAACATCCATATTCTAACACAAGACGTATGACAAATGTTGAGCTGAGATTGCTTTGCGGAACAAGGCCCAGGCCTATACAAGATGACAGCTCACCGATGGTTGTGGCGAGCTACGTGAGACTGCAGCGCCATGACATCGTCCATGTACTTGTCCCTCGGGGTCTTGAAGTGTACATACTGGTCCGACACACCAATAATAGCCAGCCTACAGAACAGAAGGATGCAGGGGATGTTAGTGAGCTTGGTATGGAACCCACGTGATCTGCCTGATGAACTATGCTTCGCCCACTAGGCCTCCATCTCCCTCCTTTGTGAATCAGTTAGTAACGAGTGAGTGGGTTTGGTTTTACGCCACTTTTAACAGTATTCCAGTTATATCACGGCGTGTCAGCTTAATGTGGGAGAAAAGCCTGAAGTGATACAGGTCATAGATGTTTACCACTTCGGTGAAACCCATAAGCACGGGTATGGTGCTGACAAACCTAGAAACATAATTGGGGCAAACCGGGATTCGAACCCACAATCATAGGTTTTTGGTGTGCCCAAGGGACGCAACTCTGCACAGCGAATCACGGCGCCTTAGACGACTGGGCCACCCGTGCCCCCGAATCAGTAAGTACCAAAGGCCTATAGTGTGGGTATAATCACTGATAGTACTGATGACAAAGTGTTCACAACACATTTGTTTTCATAGTATTAGTGCTGGCGCAGCCTTAGAAATGCAGGTTTTTTAAAGATTAGTCGATAGGACCAGCGGAAACTTTTTTTCTCAGTCCTCAGAGGTTTTAGCCCTGTTTGAATGAGACAATAAATTTTAATATCTTTACATTTTCGGTCAGTTTTATTCAGTGCCAATTTGTAGAAAAATGGAAAAATTGAGAACTTGTTGAGTCTTGTAACTCTCGAATGCTACTGGTCAATGAGGACAACCATAATTTGATTTCTACTTGTCCTCAGGACATTTTTAGGACATACAGCCATTGTCCGAGAAACATCAACTGATCTGACACCCTGATAACTCACCATAGTAAATCATTGGTATCTTTAGACATCTTCCAGGCCAGTTCAAACATTAATAAAGAAGACTGAAAACAAAGCAAACATAAGGCTTTAAAAAATAAAAGAATTGGTTCTCAGGCAATGGTTTTTGAAAATATAGTGCGGGAAGGCTGTGTCCTTTTTTTTTGGGGGGGGAGGGGGAACCAAATAAACAATTGTGTACAAACAAACTGGGAAAGGGTCTCCCTACATAAATGTATTCCTTGATGAGTAAAATACTGGAATACAGTATTTGACTACCGTTGGACTTGGAATATTTAAGGATGTAATTTTTTCTAAAATTGAAATAGAAAGGAAATATGCGGCGAACTTTAAGATGATGAGAGCGGTGCCTGAGAAGCTGGACTATTTTTTTTAGCCTCATAGAGATATGTTAATTCAACATGTTTCATTAATGATAGAAATTGTTAAATCATCTTGTTCAATCATATTCTACTGGTACTTTATGAACTAACAATGAACCTACACATGATACACATATTGGCAATAATCTCATAAAACAGCAAATGGGATAAGCCATCTTATGTGATGGAAGCCGAACAATTATTAATCGTGAAAAACAACTGATGCCCATCGGGCATATAAACCTTAAAAAACTTTGCATGATTCTCGATGAAATATCCCAGGCCCTCTCCTTGATAATAAAAATGTCATTGCCAAAGAGTGAGGTGAGGTGCGGTGAGGGAGTAAGGCTTTATGCCGCTTTTACCAATATTCCAGCAATAATCACATCAGGGACACCAGAAATGGGTTTCACTTATGTAGGCCTGTGGGGAACCGAACCCAGGCTTTCAGCGTGACGAGCAAACTCTTAGACTACGAGGCCACCCCACTGCCCAGTGCCAAAGATGACAGAGATCCATACTCACTGAAGTCCCGTAGGATGTGAACTTGGTGTAGTCAAATATGACCTTGTTCCTGCAAGACAAACACAAGACACTGATTATCAGGACTGTATGGGGTATGCAAGTAATGGATATAAACCCCCCACAAGGTCTTGACGGAGGATGTAAGCCCGCGGAGGAGGCCCAACCTAATTTCCCGACACCCCAGGCTTACATTCTCAGTCAAGACCTACGGGGGAGTTTATATCCTACTTATACACCATCTAAATGCAAGAAATACGGGGAACATAAGAAAACATCGACAAACCTTATAGTGAAACAATACAGTGTATCGCGGTATAAAAGGAATTAGCTCAAAGCATGCGAGAGAAAAAATATGTGCAGCCTGTACTAGATGGAGTCATGACATGATAATCTGAACAAATTCTCATCACCTGCCCCGGTAGCTCTGTGGGTTACAAAACTTAACACGATATGTGAGGGTGCAGGTTCGATTCAAGTCATGGAATTTAGGTTTAAACCAATCATCAATCAAAATTGTGGTCATATCAAGGGGCAAGTTTATAAAACATTAAATTTCACGGAATGCCCGCTTACCCGGGCATACTTATGCTGGAATGCCCGCTTACCCAGGCATTCTGAGGGAATAACTCCTTTACGTGTTTACCCGAGAAAAGTTGAACGTATATTTATAACAGGGTGACATCATTAGAGGTTTACAACAGTGAGAACAATGGCTGACGTATATCCATGACACACAAGTAATGACTGTTTAAGACTGTTACATGGCAGCCTCAAATGTGATCTTTTAAACAAGTGGCTGATAGCATGAGCAACACCTTTGATTATCCAGTGTGTTATCTCCTTTCTGTTTAAATAAATACCATGGACCTTCTGGACACCAAAACTTCATTAAGAAGTGAGAGTTGATGCAGGTCTTGGACGTTTACCACTGTGGCAAAAAACATGAGCACGGGTATGGTGCTGACAAATCTTAAAACAAATCAAAAACTTAATCGGGGTGAATCAAAGGCACAATCAGAGGTGTCTGGCACATCAAAGGGACACAACTCTGCACAATGAATTGCAGTGCCTTGACTACTTGGCCACCCATGCACCCTGTCAGGGTTAAAGAATGGAATATTACTGAAGACATATCCTTATCGAAAGTCAACAGACCTATTTTCAGTCCACAGTCTCTTTTCCCTCCGTCTGTCTATGGCTGCCTCATCAAACCTCCGTTTTTTCCCTGATCTTTCAGAACTGTCACTCTCATTACCGGAATCATCGTCTGACTGAAATAACAACACTCTCCTGAAAAAGCCTTATTTATACTTAAATAGCTGTATATATTTCATGAAAGACATGTACTAGGTCGTATCCAGAGAACTCTTTCTTAACAAGGTGCTTACAAGTATGTGTTTCTGGTGAGGTGAGGTGAAATTGGGTTTAACGTTGCGTCCAAGATTATTGCACTTATATAGCGACGTGCATGCACGTGTGTGTGTGAGTGTGTGTGGCTGCTTGTACTAGTCCGAACTGATGCCGATTTAAAGTGCTAGCACACTGAGATACCATGCCGCAGTTTAACATGAATACCCCACTCAGACACAGTATACTGACTCCGAGCCGACCAGTCCTTGCTTTAGCCCCTTAATGCCAAGCGTCAGACTGGGTAACAACAAGTACCATCTTTTAACGTCTTTTGGTATGACGCGGCCAGGGATTGAACTCCGGACCTTCCGCTCTCCGGGCTGACGTTCTACATCTAGACCACGGAGGCGGTGTATGTTTCTGGCTTACACTAGCAACGTGCTGATAATTAACAGAAGCAGCAGTAAAACCTGTCAGGTTTAGTGCTCTAGTCATAGTAACATATAGCAAACCTATTAAAAACGGCAAATTTCTACTAGTCCTTATGATACCTTAACTATTGGGCAGTTTGGCAAAGACTACGTATACAGGACTAGTGCCATTTTATAACGCTGCAAAGGGGACATTTTGCCACGAGATGTGTTTCCGACTTACGCTGTCATCCCGGAAGACTTCATCATACTCCGGCAGCTCCGTCAACTCCTCCTCCTTCATCAACAACTTCACCTGCACGGCGTTGTACACGTTGTGGATGTCTACCGGACGGTGACTGCAGCACAACGAACATGTCACACCCTAACAGTCAGGTCATGAATTATACTACTAAAAACAGGTTTAGGACCACCCGATTCTTTCATATTACTAAAAATAATATGTCATGGCATTGAAATTGATATATGCCATGACAGATTAACAATAGTAATGTGAAAAAAAGTGGATGATCCTTTACTCTATGATTAACTGTAGTAATACCAATGAATGGTTGGTCCTTAACTATTTGTGAGTAGCATTTTTTAATTATATCACGGCATGTAAATCTTGGATTTGAAACTAGGGTCACTGGATTCTGACACAACCAGGGGACACAACTCTTTACAGCGAATTACAGCACCTTTAACAACAGTGAGGTGAGGTGAAATGGGTTCCACGTCACGTTCAAGATTATTACAGTCAGATAGCGATGTTAGACAACAGTGAACTGGCCTCGGCGAGCGAGCGAGCGTTTGAGTTATTACTGTCAATTGGATCTCTGTCTCAGGTAGAATACTGAACAGTTACTGAGTGTTGTTTTCTGGCTGACTCAGCAATATTTCAGTCTTATCAAGGAGGCCTGTAAATAATCAAGCCAGGCCACCAATGGTTGACAGTACGAGCAAAAATCAATAGTGTCAGAGACGATCACAAACTATCAGTCAGGTGCAGTGTTGGCTGAAGAGCGCGTTTTTGCGTCTTGGACGCACAAAAATAAGTTTGAACGCACCTGCGTAACATGTGTGGGTCTCGTGGACGCAGTGACTGGGGCTATATTAATTTCATATCGAATTGACACTGTTATCGTAAATCAAAGACGTACGTCTTTGCGTAAAGGTATTTGTTGCCAAACAAGACAGCGAAGCATGTTGATTAACACTTCCGTTTGCTAAACCAAACCAGTTTCATTATTCTCTCCCTTTTTATGACAAATACCCAAACCGGTTTCTTGACCTATATCTATTGTCGGTTTTGCATGTATTAATTTTCGGTATGGTCCGTAGCTTTGCTTCAGCCAATCAGGTGCCACATATTAAGCAAGTCGGATATAGTCGTAATTAATTTAGCTTGCTGATTGGTCGAAAATATCCTGACCTTCTGTCAAACTAAAAATAGCCAGGCACATCAAGGGTATACTTCAGAACGTGGTAACAGTGACCCGCGAAATCGAGCGACCGTGTAGGATGATACGCTATGTTATCGCGGTAGTTAATTTATAATGGATCGTAGTGGGGCACGCTTACAAACTTATTAAATATGTGATTCACAAAATGTTTGTTGTTCATTGGATTGATTGATGCTGATTTTCTTTACCGAGTTCGGTAAACAAAGTATGCCACCTGTCATTGGTGAATCTTACCTCAGTAAGTAAGGCTGTGTGGATTATATGGTATATCACTTCCTGTTTTGAATTTTGCATACGACCGAGGTTTGGTCAAGGGACTTCGTTTGAACAAATGGGTTCTTTTTCTAATCAATTTTGAATGGAGGAAGGGGTAATTCCACTTCAAAAATATCCCAGGAACTGTCATAAAAAAAGTTAACTTGTGTACAAGTAGCCGTGACATACCGCAACGAGTCCTGTATTCGATCATGCGATGAAATATATCGTGCTTACATTTGCATAAGTAAACAGTCGACAGGTTGTGTGGATTACGAGATTTATCAATACCGCGATACCGTATATGATAAAGAATGAATGCGAACACTTGAATGTACAATGATGTAAGCATTGTTTTTACTTAGCGGACTCTGAATATTTAGTTATTCTACAACAGACTTATCAAGCTGATAATAATTCAATATCTTGTGAGTCATATTAAGAATTGCAAAACACATTTTGCCAGGACCGTTATTGGTGTTACTGACATGTTTAAACATTTATAGCACCTGAAACATGTTGACTTGATTTATCAAGGAAATGCTGGATCCTGAACATACTCTTACTAAAAAAACGTTCGATATGCCAATTATATTTTATGACTCATTGATCATTGTCACAGTTACAACATGAACTCAAATACTCAGTACAGTAGCATCAGAACAGCCATTGAACTTAACTGAATCCATAACTTCAAATCATTTGTAGATCTCTGTAAAAACATTCACAAATGTCTGTCACAATGACCCCTTACCAATGGCTGACCCGTGTACTGCCTTTTCATATACAAAGTTAGATATTAACATGGATAATTTTGTGTTATAATATTCATTAATATCAAATGTCCCTTTTAAGAAATTGTTTGTCCCTTAATGTAAACCTCTTGGTTATGAGAGCAGGATGTGCCCTGATGTGAACCTTTCTCTCACTTTGCCTGTTTGTTGATATTTTGCAGTTGCGAAAAGATTTCTTATTTTTCACAACCACTGTGTTCTGTTGTTAATGTTATGTTATAATGCTATAAATTGGACCCCTCCATTTTTGTTTGGGACCCCTAATTTTATGATGAAGGGGTCCAAGTGACCCCAAGAAAATTTAAGCCAGAGCAGACACTGCAGGTGACATGGCGAGATCCCCAATTTGGCCAGCTCTCACAACAATCAACAATGTAAGGGTACAATGACACCCCCTGTGAAGATCCGGGTTAGAATCGGTCTTCAGCAACCCATGCTTGTCAAGAGAGCAACTAACAGGATCAGGTGGTCAAGCTCGCTGACTTAGTTGATCCATGTCATTATATCCTATTGCATAGATCGATGCTCATGTCAGTCACTGGAATGCCTGGCCAAGACTCGATTATTTAAGACCACTGTCATATAGCTGGATTATCGCTGAGTGAAGCGTTAAAATACAAACAAACAAATACAATGACACAAACAACAAACAAACAAATACAATGACACACAATCAATCAGGTCACATGGTAGGATCCCCAAGTGTGCCGGCTCCTTCAACAAACAAGCATGGTATCCTACGGGGGTTCAGGGGAACAGGTTCACAGTACCCCATGCTTGTTCTCTAGGTCAACTCTCGGGAATGTTTCAGGGGGAAGGCTGTAGATGAAGCGTACCTGTCAGAGATGTAGAATCGGATGTGCTCCGGTGGCTGCAACATCTCCACAACGTCCACGGAGGCCCCACAATTGATCATCACAACATGCTTGATCTGAAAATATAGACAGGCTTGCATGAGAGATATTATCAATAGTGAGTGAGTGAGTGAGTTGTGTTTAAGGCCGCTTTTAACAGTATTCCAGTTATATCACGGCGTGTCAGCTTAATGTGGGAGGAAAGCCCGAAGTGATGCAGGTCTCAGACGTTTACCACTTCGGTGAAACCCACGAGCACGGGTATGGTGCTGACAAACCTAGAAACATAATCGGGGCGAACCGGGATTCGAACCCACAATCATAGGTTTCTGGCGTGCCCAAGGGACGCAACTCTGCACAGCGAATCGCGGCGCCTTAGACGACTGGGCCACCCGTGCCCCCTATTATCAATAGTCTTACTGGAGCTATCGATGTATTGTTTCCTGGGAATGGCCAGTTCATATTAAACATAATGTTTGTTGAGTGACACAAAAATCAAGTAAGTATGCACAATTTCAACAGTGTCACTATACCAGGCTGAACCTACCGTATTCGACGTAATAAGTGCCCCGCTCTAATATGCACCCACTGAGATATTTGCTTATATATTGGCTAGTGAACAATCCCAATTAGCACCCCTTCCGATTGATAAATGTACACAAGACTTACTTGTTCGTGTATAATACGCACTCGTGTGTTATTTGCACCCTTAATTATGGGCAATTAAATTCTGGAAAATATATCTGTCGTGTATGATATGCACATATCGCCTGTATCATTTCAGGCTGTCAGCATAAACTACGTAATTTACAATCTTTCAACTGTTTTTTCTCTCACCAAAATTATATTCTAATAAGAGCCCCCTATTTTAATTTTGAGAGCACCCAGGGCGCTTATTACGTTGAATACGGTGATAAAGATTCTAAGGAACAGATGCTTTCTCAAAAAATGTAATCATTTTCCCAAAACTAGTAGAAAATGTATTGTGTTTGTTTGTGTGTTCTTTAACGCCGCACTTAGCAATATTCCAGCCATATGACGGTGGTCTGTAAATAATCAAGTCTGGACCAGACAATCCAGTGACAGACATAATGAGCATCGATTCACAAGCCTGACCACCCAATCCTGTTAGTCGCCTCTTACAACAAGCATGGTTGCCTTTTAGGGCAAACATGGCTTGCTGGTGACCTATTCTAACCCGGATCTTCACTGATATCACTATATAAAGGTGTATATATTGTACTGCATGTGAGCAACATCAAGCACTTGTGGGGGCAGTGGGGTAGTCCGGTTGTTAAAGTGTTTGCTAGTAACGCTGAGTCTCGGGTTCGATTCCCTACCTGGGAAGCCCATTGCTGGTGTTCCCCATCGTAATGTTGCTGAAATATTACTAAAAGTGGCGTGAAACTCACTCACGCAATTGCGGTGTGTTTTCTGAGACATAATTTCTGTTCGTTTATACAGCATATCGTAAACAACAAAACATATTTGACGTTGAAGTGAGCATACTTAAATGTATTCTAGATGGGTGGTTGAGATGAGTGATGCTTTGAAGAGTCTTTCAGTTGTATCATGGCTTGTCACCTTACTGGGGGAGGAAGGTCTAAACCCATGTGTACAGGTATGATGCTGACAGATCATTATCAGGGGTCTGAACCCATGACCAGCAGATCCTGACATAATGAAGGGACACAACTCTGCACAGAAAGATGCTGCCCTAAGGAAACTGTGCCACTCTCAAACCCCAATCTGTGTAGGCTTGTTGAATTAAGGTTGTAGTGTCTTCCCTGATTTTATTTACACAACCATACAACACAAATGAGAGACGACTCACTCCTTCTGAATTCTCTACGAAGGCCCTCTCCAGTTCTTCCAGACCACTGACTGGGACGATGGTGTACAGGACCTGGTCGCACTGGAACAGATACTGAAACAACACATGTTACCATAGTAACAGGCAGCAACTGACTGGGATGATGGTGTACAGAACCTGGTCGCATTGGAACAGATACTGAAAGAACACATGTAACCATAGTAACAAGCATCCACTGGCTGGGACGATGGTGTACACTGGAACAGATACTGAAACAACACAAGTAACCATAGTAACAAGCATCCACCGACTGGAACGATGGTGTACAGGACCTGGTCACACTGGAGTGAGTGATTGAGTTAAAGTTTAACGTCACATCGGCAATATTTCAGCCATATCGTGACGAATGGTGGATTCGTGACGAATCAGTGGATGCTTGTTACTATGGTTACATGTGTTGTTTCAGTATCTGTTCCAGTGCGACCAGGTTACAGATACTGAAACAATACATGTAACCATAGTAACAAGCATCAACTGACTGGGACGATGGTGTACACTGGAACAGATACTGAAACAACACATGTAACCATAGTAACAAGCATCCACTGACTGGGACGATGGTGTACACTGGAACAGATACTGAAACAACACATGTAACCATAGTAACAAGCATCAACTGACTGTACATGATGGTGTTCACAGGAACAGATATCGAAACAACACATGTGACAACATAACAAACACGTGACCACATCACATATGTCATCATGTATCAGTAACAATCTGTCTGGTTAATGCAATGCTCAAATATATACAAAGCCAGCAGTTGAGCATATTTAAATCAAGCACGTATGCCCTGGATAGTAGACCTACATACCATGGTCATGATAGTAGACATACTAACACATATATGGACTTGGCTTTATTTCTTACTTTGTTTACACATTTAACAAAGGTGGAAAATGAACAACCTTTTGCAAATTATGGGGCATCATATCGCGAGCTCAATGTATCACATACACTACTTTCAGTTTGTTCCAGGGATTTGTCTACACAGACTCAGAGGCCGATGTTGCGCCCAAGTCAGCAGCAAATGTCCCATATTGAAAGGACAAATTTTCCATTTACTGCCCTTGGAGCTATTTGCAATGATTTGGGTTTCACTAATCACAGGAACAATAAAGAGGAAGAGAATTTAATTCTTTGTCAATTTACTGCAATGAATATAATGTCATACCGCTGATTTTAGGAAAATGAGATCTTTAAGAAAAGTCACAAGTTTCAACAAAATTATGATTTTTTTCTCAAATTGTTTGCCATTCTTACATAAATCCCTGTGTTGTGACATATTATTGCTGTTATGTCTGGGTTGGTTTTTTTCATTATCTTACAATCATTCTAACAAAAAATAAAACAAATTATCCAAACCTGCAATATCCTGCATGCACATAATGCATCAACGTCGAAAGACACGAGAACCAGAACACGCTGGAACAGAAGAAACAGATTTACACATCGTCAGGGTACAGGAAATAACTGGATGCTGGATAATGCTGTGCATTGTGTGATATAAGAGTGATGTACGTATGGCACTGTGCTCGTGCTTATTCAGCACGCTAGAATGCATCTCATATAATAGTATGACAGTTCCGATCCAGTCAAGGAATCGGTTGAACGCAATGTGGTATGGAATCATCCTAGAGTACCATTCTGTATTCTGATTTTGGCTAGGGTACCCTTCTGTAGACAGAAACATACCCAGGGTATAGTATGACTCTATTATCGCGGTATCGGTAATTCTCATAATCCACACCCGCTGTCAACTGCTTACTTATGCAAATCTAAACACGATATTTGATTGCTTGATCAAATACAGGACTCGTTGCGGTAGATCTATGTCACAGCTACTCGTAAGTATACTCATTAACCTTTTTATGACAGTTTCCGGAATGATTTTGAAGTGGAATTACCCCTACCTCAGTTCGAAATTGATCAGAAAAGAACCCATTTGTTTAGACGAAGCCCCAAAATAGCCATACCGCGATAATACTGAGTTGCCCGCCCTTGAATCGTTAATGACAGATACTTTGTTTACTGAACTCTGTAAAGAAAAGTAGCATCGATTAATCCTAACTGATGTGTCATAAAAGTTGAATGAAGATCAAGAAACATTTGGCGTATGACATAGTTAATGTGTTAGTAAGCATTACGAGCCATTATAAATTAACTGCCGCGATAGTATAGCGTATCCTACAAATCTAGAATACCCGTGGCGACGACCCCTTCAGCTCCAATGATATGCCAATAAATCAAGATGTAAAATAGTTAAATTAGATTGCCACAAATGTAACTCTCATATTTGTGCATGATGTGTACTCCGATTACTTCCGATATCTTTTATACGAGAACAGCTGAACTGTGTCTCCGTCATGAAATGCCATAAAAACATTGAATATTCGCCCTCTGTACATTTGTGTTTTTGTATCGAAATGTAATGCTGCTGTGAATTTTGCTGATGAAGTGTACCTGATTTTGTATAGCGTCATAAAAATTCTTCTTAAAATCCTTGACAAACATTTTGATATGAATAAATTCTTCTCAGTGTTTTCATCCGTGTTATTCGATTTTGGCGCGGTTCCGTGTGCCGACACAGCCAACGCGTTTGTGATACAAAGCTAATGATTGGTTGACGATTAGCAGTACTAAAACTGGACACTCCATATTCTACAGTTTATGTCATTGTGGGAGCTTTCTCCTTTATATTCTGAGAAAACAAAAATATAAACACGAGTGATCTAATAACATTTCACAAATATGAGGGGTGAACATAGGAATCTGATGCAAAACATATAAAAAGTTAACAGAGAAAATGACCAATCAGAGAGGCGCTTTCATTGGGGTGTGTTGAACCGGAAGTAAACAAACACATCGACACGATTGTGCGTGCGTACTGTTTACTTCCTGTTCAGCTGTTGAGCAGTGTCATTGCATATGTGATTCACGTCTTAATATAATCTGTTGTTGTTTCCGTTCGAACACGATTTGAAAAATGGTACGTATCACTAACACGTTGTCGTGTTGCTACGATTCCTTAGCATACTTGTTTGAAGTCGATATTCTGGTTCATGTTATAGATCTAGACAGTCCACTGACTTTCTTCAGAAAGATATTGTAAAACATCTTGTGAAATCCACCACCATGACCACCGCGAATATTGTTTGAATCACTGACATAGAGCCAATATGTTCGATATCCCTTTCTCTTATGTCTATTTATGTTTATATCCCAGTGCCTGTAAACAAACCCAAAAACTCAAAACATGGTAAGTACTTATAAGAAATGACGACAATGAACTCAGTCCAACTGAAAGTAAAATTTTGTAGTTTTTTTATATCGCTATTTATACCACGAGGGATGAATTAGACAATTTCATTTAATATGTGTGACTTCATGTTTACACTGACAGGAATACAACAACCAGCTGTAACAGAAATAAAATAGTTCATCAAAAGGAGAGATGATGAGCGTATGTATGCTCAACGGCAGCAGTGCAGCTTAACAAGCACAGCTTCGCCCGCTACCAACAGTTCAATTACGCCTCACGCTCAAATAAACTCACACTCATCTCTGGGAGCAGACACACCTTGGCGATCCAACACCACTATTCGATCTTAGGTAGCCGACACGCCTTGCGATCCAACACCAATTTTCGATACTCGGGACCTGACACGACTTTCGGTCCAACACCTCTTTTCGATACTTGGGAGCTGACACGCCATGCGATCCAACACCTCTTTTCGATACTTGGGAACTAACACGCCCTGGCGAACCAACACCTCTTTTCGATACTTGGGAGCTGACACGCCTTGCGATCCAACACCCGTTTTCGATACTCGGGACCTGACACGCCTTTCGGTCCAACACCTCTTTTCGATACTTGGGAGCTGACACGCCCTGGCGAACCAACACCTCTTTTCGTTCTTAGGGAACTGACGCTCCTTTTCGATCTTAGGGTACTGACACGCCTTACTGATCCAACACCCCTTTTCGATCCTTTGGGTTAGCCTGATTACGACTAGAGGTAGCCATAGATTCTTACCTTTGCACAGTGTTTCCAATTATCCAATGAGGGTAATCCTATTAGACTGGTCTGTTTTAACAAGTTTTGTCCCTCGATTAGTTACTCATTTTGATGGACAATGACAGGCATGGCTTCCTCAAAAAGACGAATGGAGAGAGTGTGACATCAGTAACACGCATGTGCAATTAATTGTTTACTTAATTGTTCAATGCTGTTAATGAAGTGCTAATGACCTATTAAATTAGCTCTTAATCCAGCACTAATTAGCCAAGCCGGTAAGCCATCCAACCGCTTTTGAGTCCCCACAGACCTAATTGGATCTGAAAGAGTGTGCCCGGTAAAGTACACTGTTCCCTGCTCAACTTTCTCTCCAGAAACATCTTTTGTAGTTATGTTAAAACAAATAGATTCAAATAATTTTATGATCAGATGACAAAGGTCTCTTAAGAACAACTTAAGTAAGTCAGTCACAGTGACAGCGTGTCATAATATATTTACATCAAATACAGGACGTGGTGCACCTGAAGAATGCAGTACCACAACTCCTTGTGAGGATGATCTCTGCCATAGGTCACATGTTTGAAAGACACACAACCAGTTTTTATGAGAATCTGTCGGACGCAAACATGCGACCTTTGGATTGTTACCCGAGAGCTTACCGACTGAGATTCACCCAAATTGTGATTGTTAGTGCAAATTTAACCTGCCATGCACAAGACGTTACAGAACTGAACAGAAGGATTTGAGTAGTGACAGACACTTACAAAGGTGACGGGTAGGCATGGTGTCTTGTGACAACACCTGCCCCATGCCGTAATCTGCAAGACACTGTATATTATACCTTTTTTTAGGACATTCTTCTGTATCACTACCAAATTTAACATTTTGGATGACAATCAGACGATGTCCTAGAAAATGAATTTCAAATCCCATTCTGCATTCTATAGACTCACTTGACAAGAGTATCTTGTACCCATAAGGCCTAGGACGCCTAGGACACAGAGCAAGCTTACATTGGTCCTCGTCATCAAAGACACAGTGCACAAACACTGCTGTATAGTTAACCATTTGCTATTTGTCTTTTAACCATGTTAACATATGCATGTTAACCATAGACGGCACATCACTTTTAGTCATACTTTATTTATTTCATCCTCAGTTTGGTTTTGGACATATGTTCCCGGAGGTGGGTCGGCCCTTCCAGACCACCTACAGATGCTACTCAGTGACGATGCTGGGAGACAGAGAGGACGTGGAGAGGGGAGGCAAAAGTGGGTTTTACCAATATTTTGTTTACAACCAGTTAAATTTTTGAAGATAAACAAAACATAATCAGTGTCAAAATTAAAATATATCACAGCAAGTATTATTTCAAAGCATACAATCACTTCTTCAGTAGAATATTCATAAGCCAACATTTCAAAATATGAATTTATCACTTTCAGCATTGATACAATATTCAGCAGGTGCCTTCATAGATATAATGGAGAGTAAGATGATGGAGAGTAAGATGATGGAGAGTAAGATTACCTAGATTCATGAAACATGAATTTGATGTTCTATCTTTTACTTTCAGTTATAATGCCACCTTCTGCTCTTGACCAGCTCAGTGAGTATATCCAACTGTTTTGTGTGCATGTTCAGTAGTAATGTCCAGACAGGACCAAAGTCAGTACAAATATGTGACCCCCAGGAGAAAAGGGACCTTATGTGTGCTAGGATACAATTGTGTTGTGAACTTGTGACGTCATATAGAAAGACATTTGACGTCAACTTAATTCCGAAAAATTGCCATGCAGATCTATGCAGACTGTACAAAAATATCTTTTTTTTGTCTTGTTAAGTCGTAATGTAATACAAGTGTTATTTCAAAACATTTCAGCATACATGTCTACTTTTCGATTAATTAGTCACTATATCTAAATTATTATTATTATTATACATCAGTTATTATCTCAAATCTGAAAATGGGATTTTGCTGAAATTTTTTTCAGCAGTTTGATGCCAAGTATCTCTTTAATAAATAAGAATTGAAGCCTGTGCATTGTGTTCCTGTTTTCCTGAGATACTATAGTTTTAGAATATAATGACAGTCTTTACATTTTGTTGACTGGGAGCACGGGGACGTTCCATTTAAACAGAGGGGGTGGGGATCCCACACTGATTTGCTACGTCTGCACTTGCTACAAGATGGCATGTTATCTGCAATGAAGCAGAGTGAAATCACAATGCACCCCTGCCCGATTGTGTACGCTATAATCTTTGTTCCAGTCTTGTTGGTTTATGACAAACAAGTTAAAAAAACATGTATAACAACACCACTTTAATAAACAATATAATTGCAAGCATACTCCAATAGTGAAGTACCAGGCAATGAAAAGAATACAGAATGCAAACCCTGAGATGCAGCAGCCACGTAAAATATTCAAGATGGCTGTATCCACTGTGAATGACAGCAGTAATGTGAAGACCGTGACGTCATCAACTCCATTGGTCACGTGGGAGCTGTTTGATAAGGTTTTCCCCAAAGCTAGTTGAAACAACTTCTTCTTCAGCAAGACTTCACACAGCTCTTCTTTCTGTCAAGAAAAGACAGTAATATGCAAGGAGTAATACAGGAAAAGTTAAAAATAATTTTAAAAAAGGTCCCTTATCTCATGGTTGGTCAGGGGCGTTGGGGTAGCTTAGTGGTTAAAACTCTGCTCGTCACTCCGACGACCCGGGTTCAATTCCCGACATGGGTATAAAATGTGAAGTCAATTTCTAGTCTCCCCAGCCGTGATATTGCCGGAATATTGCTAAAAGTGGTGTAAAACCATACTCACTCATGGTTGGTCACATATATTGAATGCCCAAAGATAACCATCTAATACCCAATGTGAGAGATAACAATGATAACATGGGAGTAAATACTCAGTGGCTTAGCACATTATCTGGGGCCGTGAAGCATTATGTGCAGCAGTCAGTGTGTGTTTTGTTCCTTCACAGCTCGGCTCAACATTCAGTACCCTATGCTGTTCAAACTGACCAATAAGAAGCATGGTCGAGAGACGCACTGTGGCGTGCTGGAATTTGTGGCAGACGAAGGCCGGATATACATCCCTTATTGGGTGAGTGACACTTTTAGATGGAGAGATTGTCAGCTAAAGTTAAATCCTTAAATACTGTAAATCTTGAATTAAAGCGAGTGTGAATTAAATGTGAAAAATGTGAGTGGTGTTTGTTCACATTAATGAAACTTCACACTTATATCTCCAAAATGACCATCAACAATAAGATGGCCTCACTGCACACTTTGGATAGCGGAAATACCTACTTGAATATAAACACAAATAACTATATCTTCCACATATCACGGTTTATTGAGCAGCAGTTGTAAGAAGTATATATCAATGTCATTCAAAGAATAGAATTATACAATGGGGGTCAGGTGAGTTATCACTGCTTGGGTCAAGAGTTCTACTCACTCGGGACAAACTAGTCATCACTGACCACTCCAGCAGTCCAGACAGACGCCACTCATGTAATGCTGCATCACAGGCCAACACAACCCAAAGCTCACCGATAGGCTTTATATCCCTATTCCCCTGGGGTTGCATTTTTGGCTAGGGGTCAGCAGTCGTATCAATTTTGAGACGCATAAATTTCAAGATTTACAGTTAACGTCTGCCTTAAATACAAACGCAGCCATGACAGAAAGGAAAAGGTGATTAAATGGCAAGGGTGTCACAAACACTTCTCTGAAAACTTGGAGCTCATGACTGAAATAAATCTAACAACCTTCCACAATACATAATTCCTGATGATTATTCACTGATTTACGGAAAATATTTGTGATTATATCATTAACAATGATTCTTTTCTTAAATGTTTTCTGATTTCCTTGTTCAACAATCTGGTATCAGACCTAGTTGTCTTGGATGCGGCAATTCACTGTACAGAGTTACGTCCCTTAGCTATTCCTGGATCTGCTGCTGATGGGCGAGAATCCCAAATTGATCCCAATCAGGTTCAATGGTCTGTCAGTGTTAGTGCTGATGGGGTAGACCTTGATATTAGTGAAACACAAAACAGCATAACACTACATTTTCTCACTTCAGGATTTGATTAACATTTCTTAGGTTGTTGATAATATTTAGAAATAAGTACTTGCAGAGGCCAGGAAGAGATGTGACTTGTGTTATCAGTCATTGATACCAGTGTCAACCTGAGGTCTTTTTGTTTTTAATAATTCAAGGTGTTTATAGAAGTTTATTTTGGCAATCAACTGAGCAGGATTGTGAGAAATTTTAAGATGATGAGAATCCTGTTTGCTTGTTTCAGATGATGAGAAACCTCCTGTTGGACGAAGGTGGACTGATACAGATAGAGAACGTTTCACTCTCGGTCGCTACATTTGCCAAATTTCAACCTCAGTCCGTCGATTTCCTCGACATCACCAACCCAAAAGCTGTGTATCCTTTCAAATTTGAAACGTGTATTGATGAACGTGTGTAATTCCAGTATTGTCTAAGAAGGCAGAACTAGACATAATGGGAGAATATTGTTACATGGCTTTTTTTGTTGCAGTATTTAACTGTTTATCGTCAATACTGGACTGTCGTCTATACACTAATTCAGTTTCATTAAGATCAGATCAATTATTCCGTTACATCTCTGACTGGAGATGTTGATGAACCTACATAATTTTAAACTAAATTGTCTTCATCCGTTTGGCTAGCAAACCAATTCACGGCCATCTTGGCAGGTAGCAGATGACGCATTACAATCAGATATGCTTGGTAAAGTTACTACACTGCTATTGCTTGGTGTCCAGTATATGATTTGTCATTGTATTTACATTGGTAAGAAGTACTGCATTTTTGAACGTTTGAACCTTATTTGTCAGTGGGAGAAAGTTACTAATCAGAAACATGTAATTTAGTGCAAGGTAAGCAGGGCTCGATTTAGCTATATAAAAAATGCACCAATGCAGCCTGTTGTAGGAAAACTGCAGCCTAATATTTATGTCAACATTGGTGTCTGCCTAACCATTACTTGTCCACACTAGAACGATCTTTGAACACACTCAATACCTCAAAGTTTATTTACCATTCTACATAACTAATCTCTGTGATGTGTGTAATTTGTCTTTCCTTTATGGGCTTGACATCAGACTTGGGGTATTTCAAGATTAAGCTCCTATTACGTTTTACAGCAATATGTCGTTAATTAATGTGACACTGGTAGCAGACCGGCCTATGTTCCAACTTTGATAAATTTATGGGACCAGAGTGCAACCTGGTTTTGTCTGGTGCTACTGGGTATTCATGCCAACCTGCACCCGTTGGTGGTTATATCAAGTTCCTTAGGTCGAGCCTTGGTAAGATATTAAATGTATATTGTGTCCCTTTGTCAATGTTGGTAATTACTTATGTGAGTGAATCTGTGATTCATATCAGGTTTACTTATTTTACCGATTCTTCAGACTTATGTTGCATGTGGATGCCCATGATGTGATGTGCAGTAGCCATATTCTCTCCTTAACTTTCATGTACAGACTTGAAAATGCTCTGAGAAACTTTGCTTGTTTAACAAAAGCTGATGTGGTTGCCATCAAATACAACGACAAGGTGAGTGAGGAGTGTCCTGATAATGTGACCATTAGCACAATCTTGAATAATGATATGTGATCTCTTGTGTCACTCTTTTCTATCATGGTTAAAAATTGTCATCAGAACAATCTCAGAACACCATACGTGCCATCAGAACGGTCTCAGAACACCACACCTGTCATCAGAACGGTCTCAGAACACCACACCTGTCGTCAGAACAATCTCAGAACACCACACCTGTCGTCAGAACAACCTCAGAACACCACACCTGTCGTCAGAACAATCTCAGAACACCACACCTGTCGTCAGAACAAACTCAGAACACCACACCTGTCATCAGAACAATCTCAGAACACCATACCTGTCATCAGAGCAGTCCGAGAACACCACACCTGTCATCAGAGCAATCTCAGAACACCACACCTGTCATCAGAGCAATCTCAGAACACCACACCTGTCATTAGAATGGTCTCAGAACACCACACCTGCCATCAGAACAATCTCAGAACACCACACCTGTCATCAGAACAATCTCAGAACACCACACCTGTCATCAGAACAATCTCAGAACACCAGACCTGTCATCAGAGCAGTCAGAGAACACCACACCTGTCGTCAGAACAATCTCAGAACACCACACCTGTCATCAGAACAGTCTCAGAACACCACACCTGCCATCAGAACAATCTCAGAACACCACACCTGTCATCAGAGCAGTCTCAGAACACCACACCTGCCATCAGAACAATCTCAGAACACCACACCTGTCATCAGAGCAGTCTGAGAACACCACACCTGTTAACACACGGCTTTGTTTACAGTGTCTAGACTTGATAACTAATAGGCCACTATAGGCTGCTGTAATACTGCCAACTGAAGCTTAAATGTTCACTCATTCTTCTATTTTAGATCTATGAATTGTGTGTCCTGGAAACCAAGCCCGGTACTGCTGTGTCCATCATTGAATGTGACATGAACGTAAGTACATGCCTCTGTACACTCACGGGGAGTCCAGTTCAGAATACAATCTCATTAAAATCAGACCTCAGTTCTCGCTACCGCTAAACAAAGATCTGAGGACATCCCATTAGGGTCACGTCAGATCGACCTTTCATCCGACCAGTCAGAGCATCGCTTACCAGATTATGAAAGTGACAGTCGGAATGTGATTTCTAATCATGCAACCTCGAAAACTTTAACTCCGAACAATAGTTACGGGTTTAACGACTGAATCCATACAATCTAGACCATCTATTAGCCATTCCAGAATGTTCTTTTGTTCAGGTTTCAAATTTGTAATCGAGAATTTGTCAAAATATGTTTCGAAGCATAGTCGCCAATTTGAAATTAGTGCCGTAAAGCACGAGAAAGCTGCCTTCTGATTGGTCATTCCATTGGTCGGTCAAAGTTCGCGTGACCTGTAATGGGATGTCCTCAGATCTTTATTTAGCGGTAGCGAGAACTAAGATCTGATTTTAATGAGATTGGTTCAGAATACTGCATCCACTGTCATAAGTAACATGAGCTTACTTACAAATTGGTCTAGCAGTTGGTCGGGGGGAGTGTATTGGAGCAGGTTGCTTAATACTAGGGCTGCAACGAATATACTATGAGGTGAATGCGATTCGTATCACGAATATAGAGTAAGTATACAAATATTAATTCACGAATACAATAACAAGTCAGCAGTTGTATTATGTATTATTTGCTATATTCAGTGAAACAAAAGCAACACAAATTATTTGACATGGTTTGTTAACTATTAACATATTATACATTTATATACTGCACTTATCCAGGTGGTAGTATCTGCTTAAATGCGACAATGACCAGTGACTGCATATTCATGAATATTCGATTCTATTGGTCACAAATTCAATTCACAAATGGATACGGTTCGATTCACCGAATACGTGAGTGAATCGTAACAGCTCTACTTAATAAAGCAAGTACTATAGGTCTCCAAATAACATTTGCCATGGTTTGTTAACTATTAACATATTATACATTTATATACTGCACTTATCCAGGTGGTAGTATCTGCTTAAATGCGACAATGACCAGTGACTGCATATTCATGAATATTCGATTCTATTGGTCACGAATTCAATTCACAAATGGATACGGTTCGATTCACCGAATACATCAGTGAATCGTAACAGCTCTACTTAATAAAGCAAGTACTATAGGTCTCCAAATAACATTTGCCTGTCAGAGTCTCATTATTCTTTCAATGAAGAGGATATGTTTCCCTATGCATTGATATTCTTTTGTAATTCAAGGATAGCTGTGAACAGGGAGTCAGATAGGTCTGCAGGGAGTCATGGTATCAACTACAACCTGTTCCATACCGGGTGCACGGGTTCCCCAGTCGTCTAAGGCGCCGCGATTCGCTGTGCAGAGTTGCGTCCCTTGGGCATGCCAGAAACCTATGATTGTGGGTTCGAATCCCGGTTCGCCCCAATTATGTTTCTAGGTTTGTCAGCACCATACCTGTACTCGTGGGTTTCACCGAAATGGTAAACATCTGAAACCTGCATCACTTCGGGCTTTCCTCCCACATTTAGCTGGCACGCCGCGATATAACTGGAATAATGTTAAAAGCAGCGTTAAACCCAACTCACTCACTGTTCCATACCTCAGTAATATGTAGCAGTTATTGACCTGTTTGTCAAGATGCATGTATGTGTTGGCATTCCCTGTTAATGAAATGAAAAGTCAACAGCATTCACTTAGACAGTCGATGGGTTCGAATTAAATGTCAAAATGTCATGGAATTCTGAACAATACAAGAAATGTAAATGTAACTTGTCAACACATTGAAGCCTTGTCCTGCTTGTGTGTTGTGTACAGGTGGATTTTGCCCCACCAGTAGGTTACCAGGAACCACGGCGCCAGAAAATGGAGGAATCTCTCAGCACAGACGGGGAGGTGAGTTCTGTAGCCAGGGTAAATACTTTTGTCCAATGGGTGGTTATTGTTTGGGTCAGGTGATGTACATTTATTTATTAAATAAAAGCCTCATGGTCGTTGTTTATAGTACAATAAAACACTGCAGTGAGAATAAACCATGAGGGGCGCAGCATGTCTGACATTGGGTGAGTGAGTGAGTTTATGCTTTGCGTCACATCGGCAATACTTCAGCCATATCGTGACGACATCTGACATTGAAACCTGCATGTGTGATAGAGTGTTTTGCACACATCTCCTGATCTGTTGGCAGTACTTGTGGGGGAAATTGGAGTCTTGAACTAATGATCTTCTGTTTGTGGTTAAATGAAGCCACAAGTGGCCCAGTCATTGAAAAGACACCACAATTCACTGTGCTGAGTTGTGTTTCTTCAGCACAAGGACCTACTTATGGTCATTTTTTTTGTTTTTCAAATTGCAATTTACAGAGCTCCAGATAAGCTTTTGGTGTTGTGGGTATTTTACCCATGCATTTTAAAATCATTAGGTATCAGTAATTCTATCTGCACTTTCAAATTTCCGTTACCCACTAGTTTTTACACATGTGGGTATTTAAGTTAAATATTTAAAAACACTATTCATCCAGTCCCTGCAAACTGGTGTCATGTGGGTTTGAGAGCTTTATAGGACTCAAAAATACCACGATACTTCCACACGAAAGTGTGATGGCAAATGATCATGATGTGAGTGTCATCGTGGAGTTTGGCATGGTTGACGAAATGCCCGTTTATAATTTCAAAATAAGTTGCTGATTTGCTAATCGAATACGCAGGGTTACTTCACAATATTTTGATGATACGCACAAATATTATTTTTGTAGCGTATCTGTAATGTTCGTTGCGTATTTGATACGCTTGGATTATATTTTACTGTATATTTCTGCATTTCTGATGCGTATTTCACGCAGATACGCAGCTTATCTGCAGCTCTGAATTTACCTAATTATATTTTGTTTTGTCAGCACCAAACCCGTTTATCACCAAAGTGATAAACATCTAAGACCATCCCTCTAATTTTTTTATTTTTTGGGGGGGGAGCGAAGTGGCCCCTAACATGAATATCTTAGGAGTCAAACCTAAGTTTTTAGGAGCCGACAGATATCTTAAACAGATATTGTCACTTTATGAAACCAAGTGGCAAGCAGTAGATAAATTTAGGTCACCAATCATAGATTCAAGTCTCATTTGTACTCAAAAATGGTCGCTTCTAAGAGGGTTCAAGACCAGCACCACTTGGGGCTTTTGTCCAAGATGACATGCAACTGTAACCCTGTACAACACATGCAAAACATTATTAAAATAAACTCATCCCCTTGATTGATGTTGCTGATGTGAGATCAGTTGTCAGTGTGTTAGTACTGTCAGATAGATGGCATGATGGTCTTGTAGGAAGTCCACCTGAAGTAATGCTGGCCTCTGGTTGCAGACTGGGGCACGGGTGGCCCAGTCATCGCGATTCGCTATGCAGAGTTGTGTCCCTTGGGCACGCCAGAAACCTATGATTGTGGGCTCAAAACCCGGTTCGCCCCAATTATGTTTCTAGGTTTGTCAGCACCATACCCGTGCTTGTTGGTTTCACCGAAGTGGTAAACGTCTGAGACCTGCATCACTTCGGGCTTTCCTCCCACATTAAGCTGACACGCCATGATATACCGTATTTGACGTAATAAGCGCCCAGGGCGCTCTCAAAATTAGAAATATGGGGGCTCTTATTAGAATATTATTTTGGTGAAAAAAAACAGAGGTGAAAGATAAAGTTTGTGGTTTATGCTGACAGCCTGAAATGTTTATATACGACAGATATATTTTTCCAGAATTTAATTGCCCATAATTAAGGGTGCATATAACACACGAGTGCGTATTATACGCGAATAAATAAGTCTTGTGTACATTGATCAATCAGAAGGGGTGCTAATTGGGATTATTCACTAGCCAATATATAAGCAAATATCGCCGTGGGCGCTTATTAGAGCGAGGCGATTATTACGTCGAATACGGTAACTGGAATAATGTTAAAAGTGGCGTTAAACCCAACTCACTCACTCACTCTTGCTGCAAGGCAGGTAACTTCACAACAGATGGATTTCAGCATAATTTTCTTTCTTCTTTTTAAACAGTTAAGTGAAGAAAAATGTATTTCAATGTTTTGACTTGTGTTTCAGGAAATGGACACTGGCGCAGATGATGTAGACAGTGCCTTCAGAGTGAGTGGGTTTGCACTCTTCATTGTGCTCATGGTGTTGTCACAATTGATTGTAATGTCGATGTATTGCAGTTGTTCTTGGGCCAAGCTGGCAAGTTAGAAAATAGTCGATGCCGTTCTAGTCGGGTTTGCAAGTATGATGACACCAGTGTTCGAAATACCTGCCTGCCCGACCGTCCGAGACGGGTTGATTTCAACTCGGGCTGCCAGATTTTCAAATCCCCCTGCCCGACAGTCGGGTTATATTTCATATGTAAAAGTATTCAAAATATTTCCCGATGATAAGCATTAATTCACATGTAAAGATGAATGATAAAATGTAACCAAAAAGAAACCCCGTTAGCTTATCCTGAGAAACATGATTATAGTGGGCAGGCAGGTTTTGGTCAGGGCTGGCAAGTATTTCAGCTAGCCAGTCCTGTGGTCTGGCTGAAATTTTAGGGAGTTTCATACCCTGATGACACATAAATGCAACACATAGACAGTGGTATCAGAAACAGTCAATCAATATACATGAAATGTTTAAATCACATTGTGTTTAAATGCATGTTTATCTTTCCTAACACTGCAATGCGTCCCAGTAATTTTCAGATTGTCTCTGACATTAACTTAATTTAAAGATTAAGAACAAATATATTGTGATTTATGCTTTTGAATTGACATCCTGATATAAAGTCATATAATGTTAGACAAAAAATATCAGATATGTCAACACTCATAGATAAAAGTCAAAACTATCCTCAGGAGGCCTCAGTTTTTCAACTTTTAGCTGCTCGTCTTAATATATTTAACATAAAACACCCATTGGTGAGATTCTCTGTACCAGTTTGATGATTTGGTCATGTTTTGTTCTATCACTGCAGGCTTTCAGTGGTCAAGGTAACCGTCTTGATGGGAAAAAGAAGGGAACAGACAGCTCAGCCACAGCATCAAGCAATGCCCCAGCCAGGTCAGGAGTTATCTCCCTTAGATTGGATCATTTTTACAAAAAGGCTATTATAGACCTACTGTCCCCAAATAGTTGTTTAACAATATGCATTCACTCATCAAGAGGTCGGGGGCGGTCGGGTAGCCTAGTGGTTAAAGCTTTCGCTCGTTATGCCGAAAACCCGGGTTCGATTCCCGACATGGGTACAATGTGTGAAGCCCATTTCTGGTGTCCCCCGCCTTGATATTGCTGGAATATTGCTAAAAGCGGCGTAAAACCATACTCACTCACTCACTCACTCACTTACTCCTCCTACTGTCCCCAAATATTTGTTTAACTATTTGCATTCACTCGTCGAGAGGTGAGATGGCTGAGTGGTTAAAGTGCTTGCTTGTCATGTGGAGACCCTGGGTTTATTCCCCACACATTTCCTTGTGTCAGGTTGGTTTCCAATGTCCCCGGGCACTGCGATTATTCTTGAAAATGGTTTTCAACAGCACAACCCTACTCACCCATGAAGTAGAGGGGGCACGGGTGGCCCAGTCGTCACTCACTCACTCACTCACTCACTCACTCACTCACTCACTCACTCACTCACTCACTCACTCACTCACTCACTCACTCACTCACTCACTCACTCACTCACTCACTCACTCACTCACTCACTCACTCACCGATGAAGTAGAGATGTTCAGATTCATTTTTAAACTTCAAGGAATTACTTGAATTAATCTGTGATTTGATTGCAGAGGTATTCCCAACTACAACTACAAACGTGGGACCCTCACCTTCATCAGGACGTCCAGGCCAGTTGCTAATGGAAGTGCAGATGTAAGTTTTAGCTTCTGTTTGGACTGATGTCACCATTCAACTACCCCTCATCTTCAGTTATCAGGTTGTCTACCGGTCTGTATGTCACTACTCAGGGCTGGGGATGTCACTATCAGTCTGTATGTCACTGTTCAGTGCTGGGGATGTCACTATCGGTCTGTATGTCACTGTTCAGGGCTGGGGATGTCACTACCGGTCTGTATGTCACTGTTCAGGGCTGGGGATGTCACTATCGGTCTGTATGTCACTTCTCAGGGCTGGGGATGTCACTACCGGTCTGTATGTCACTTCTCAGGGCTGGGGATGTCACTACCGGTCTGTATGACACTGCTCAGGGCTGGGGATGTCACTACTGGTCTGTATGTCACTTCTCAGGGCTGGGGATGTCACTACCGGTCTGTATGTCACTGTTCAGGGCTGGGGATGTCACTATCGGTCTGTATGTCACTGTTCAGGGCTGGGGATGTCACTACCGGTCTGTATGTCGCTGTTCAGGGCTGGGGATGTCACTACCGGTCTGTATGTCATTGTTCAGGGCTGGGGATGTCACTACCGGTCTGTATGTCACTACTCAGGGCTTGGGATGTCACTATCGGTCTGTATGTCACTGTTCAAGGCTGGGGATGTCACTACCGGTCTGTATGTCACTACTCAGGGTTTGGGATGTCACTACCGGTCTGTATGTCACTGTTCAGGGCTGGGGATGTCACTACCGGTCTGTATGTCACTTCTCAGGGCTGGGGATGTCACTACCAGTCTGTATGTCACTGCTCAGGGCTGGGGATGTCACTACCGGTCTGTATGACACTGCTCAGGGCTGGGGATGTCACTATCGGTCTTTATGTCACTGTTCAGGGCTGGGGATGTCACTACCGGTCTGTATGTCATTGTTCAGGGCTGGGGATGTCACTACCGGTCTGTATGTCACTACTCAGGGCTTGGGATGTCACTATCGGTCTGTATGTCACTGTTCAAGGCTGGGGATGTCACTACCGGTCTGTATGTCACTACTCAGGGTTTGGGATGTCACTACCGGTCTGTATGTCACTGTTCAGGGCTGGGGATGTCACTACCGGTCTGTATGTCACTTCTCAGGGCTGGGGATGTCACTACCAGTCTGTATGTCACTGCTCAGGGCTGGGGATGTCACTACCGGTCTGTATGACACTGCTCAGGGCTGGGGATGTCACTATCGGTCTTTATGTCACTGTTCAGGGCTGGGGATGTCACTACCGGTCTGTATGTCACAGTTCAGGGCTGGGGATGTCACTACCGGTCTGTATGTCACTGTTCAGGGCTGGGGATGTCACTATCGGTCTGTATGTCACTACTCAGGGCTGGGGATGTCACTACCGGTCTGTATGTCACTACTCAGGGCTGGGGATGTCACTATCGGTCTGTATGTCACTGTTCAAGGCTGGGGATGTCACTATCGGTCTGTATGTCACTGTTCAGGGCTGGGGATGTCACTACTGGTCTGTATGTCACTGTTCAGGGCTGGGGATGTCACTACTGGTCTGTATGTCACTGTTCAGGGCTGGGGATGTCACTACCGGTCTGTATGTCACTACTCAGGGCTGGGGATGTCACTATCGGTCTGTATGTCACTGTTCAAGGCTGGGGATGTCACTATCGGTCTGTATGTCACTGTTCAGGGCTGGGGATGTCACTATCGGTCTGTATGTCACTACTCAGGGCTGGGGATGTCACTACCGGTCTGTATGTCACTGTTCAAGGCTGGGGATGTCACTATCGGTCTTTATGTCACTGTTCAGGGCTGGGGATGTCACTACCGGTCTGTATGTCACTACTCAGGGCTGGGGATGTCACTACTCAGGGCTGGGGATGTCACTACCAGTCTGTATGTCACTGTTCAGGGCTGGGGATGTCACTACCAGTCTGTATGTCACTACTCAGGGCTGGGGATGTACCTTGTGTGGTTTTCAGATCCCTCATCGTTGGTTATCAGTTGGTCTACCGGTCTGTATGTCACTACTCAGAGCTACCATTCAGTAAAGTGTGTCAGTGTGAGGTGTAGTATTTACAGCTCACTTCCCAGATTGCTATTTATTTTAAATATTTTTTAAAACCTGTCTACTAATCTCCTTAATCACTAACCTCCAAGTACATAAACTTATTTCATCGAATTGAACTTTGAATCATTCCAGATCAAAGCAGAAAAGGATAGTCATGTCAGAGGGGCAGCCATCTTGTTTTGTGAACCTTGTATTTGTTCTTCGATGTGGAATCCTATAATCCCACATCAACGTAATATGATTCCTTTGTACCCTTCTATGAACACCTGGTGTCATCAATGATTTTCAGTGATCCATTCATATAATGTTCACAGCTATTTTGCCTTTTACACACAATGGAATCTGTCTGTCGTAGAATCAAGAATGGTTTTCCTCTTGCGTTGTTGTTGTTTTTTTATTTACACTCCCAAATACTCATACAATTCTTTCTTTGTCAGGACAAGGATGACAAGAACTTTGAAGCCTTCTCAGGAGAGGGTCAGTCGTTACGAAGGAAAGGCAGGAAATGATCGCACTGCCAACTGGACAATTGTTGATATTTATTTCATTGTACAGATCATCCACACAATGCTTCTGATTGTTTCGTCATACCACGACTGAACAGCAGCATGGGGTCATATTGAAGTGATCTAATCTACGCTGCCTGTTGGGATTAAGGTCAAATTAACCTCATTCACAGTGATTGGCTAGAGATAAATGGACATCATTCCTCATTATTGCCAAATGTTAAATTCTTTAGGACATTCAGCAGCACTGGTTTGGCTTAGTGGGTAATGCCTTGACTGGTCACACCAAGGACATCAGTTTGATCCTAACTTGTGTGCAATGTGTGAAGCCAAGTCTTGGTATCTGAAACGTAATGTTATTTGACTTTTAGTGAAACCCAGGTTAAAAGAGAGTTACCTCCCTTACCCCAGCGCCACCTACTTCCTCCTACTCAAGCATGGCAAGCAGATGACATACATTGAGTAACAGCATTTTTAAGCTTTAGTCATTATTCTGCATTGAATACCGGTTCTCAGAGTTTAAGATGGATCATAATTTACTATAATCATACATTTTTTAATAACTGATTAGCAACCTTAAGGAATATTCTGGGAAATACAGAGATTTTTGCACCTGGAACATATTTTAATCAGGCTTCATTGCTGCTATTGACAGGCTTCTCAAGGGCTTGAAAAGGCCTCGACTTTTGTTGCCTGTCTTCAAAAGACCTTGACTTCCGCAATATGTCTTGATATGCAAATAACAGCATGATGTTTGCTTGATCAAATACATAACCTTGTTTTTTGGAGAGGTTTGGGCTTATGTTTCTATGAGAAAATAAGCCTATGTTTAAAACTATTGGTAACAGACAAAATTGCATCAGATTATGAGAAAACTCCACAGGATGTGAGATGTTGATATTATTTCAGTGGGTTTCAGGACTTCCATTCAATTCTGCGGAATGTCAAGCACTGGAAATGATTTGCAACTGTGTGACTGACACTGGTATATGACAAGGCTATGTTATTGTTGGGTGTCTGTAAAATGTACAATGTGTTCTACAATCAAAGGAAGATGATCATTTTGTAAATAAACATCATTTGACCTCAGGCTTATTATTTTGAGTGATTTAATTGGGCATAGGTTCGGGAAAATATGATGTGTCAATATATGTGTATTAAAATTTTGGTTTGTTGGTAGGCTGTAGGGTAGCCTGGTGGTTAAAGCATTCGCTTGTCACGCTGAGCCAGGTTCAATTCCCCACATGGGTACAATGTCTGAAACCAATCTCTGGTGTCCTCATTGCTGGAATATTGCTAAAAGCGACGTAAAACCTCACTCACTCACTCACTCACTCTGAGGAGTGTGTGCTGGACACCTGTAATTGTGGGTTTCCCAATAAGACATAAACATCCAAACTTGAGGGGGCGGTCGGGTAGCCTAGTGGTTAAAGCGTTCGCTCGTCACGCCAATGACCCAGGTTCGATTCCTGACATGGCGACAATGTGTGAAGTCCATTTCTGGTGTCCCCCGCCGTGATATTGCTGGAATATTACTAAAAGCGGCGTAAAACCAAACTCACTCATCAAACTGAGGTTGTTGCAAATTTGGGTTCAGAAATAACTTCATGAAAATGTGCATATTTGAGGGTTGTACCATTCAATATAGGCAGGGGAGCACGGGTGGCCCAGTCGGCTGAGGCACCGCGATTTGCTGTGCAGAGTTGCGTCCCTTGGGCACCCCAGAAACCTATGATTATGGGTTCGAATCCAGGTTCGCCCCGATTATGTTTCTAGGTTGGTCAGCACTATACCCGTGCTCCTGGCTTTCACCGAAGTGGTAAACGTCTGAGACCTTCATCACTTCAGGCTTTCCTCACACATTAAGCTGACGCCATGATATAACTGGAATACTGTTAAAAGCGGCGTTAAACCCAACTCACTCACTCACTAATGTAGGCAGAGCATTGCTTGTTTTTTGGTATGATATGGTCCTCTTTCATTACAATTCCAGCTGATAATCATCTGTCTTTGCTTGTGATGGTTTCACTGACCCCAATGCATTCTTCTGCCCTTACACTACTTCGGGGTAGAATAGCTCTTCAGCAACCCATGCTTGCCCTTAAAGGCGACTAATGGGATCGGGGGGTTCGGCTGTCTGACTTTATTGATGCATGTCATCTATCCCAATTGTGTGGATCGATGCCCAGCATGTCAATCACTGAATTGTCTGGTCAAGACTCGATTATTTACAGACCGCCGTCATATAGCTGGAATATTGCTGAGTGCGGCGTTAAACAACAAACAAACAAACAAATACGTCGACGACGGTCATTCTAATTCAGCACATCCCGCCGAAAGGGTATAATACACTGACGAATCGTTGATATTGCACTGGTGACCCCATGTCTGACGACACATTGTCACCGTGTCAACTGGCATGTTTATCCTTGTGCCTAAGGTGGTAATAAATAGTTCCCCTAGTCAAGCAAGGGGTCGGAAATGTAGGTTTGTGTCGCAGCAAATGTCATTATCGCTCATCTGTATGTTTGCGCTATCGTGTAAGTCCACCATACACTGTTTCATGGATTACAGGCGGCACGGGTCGACGAGTCGTCTAAGGCGCCGGCATTCGCTGTGCAGAGTTGCGTCCCTTGGGCACGCTAGAAACCCATGAATCCCGGTTCGCCCCGATTATGTTTCTAGGTTTGTCAGCACCATACCTGTGCTCGTGGGTTTCACCGAAGTGGTAAACGTCTGAGACCTGCATCACTTCGGGCTTTCCTCACACATTAAGCTGACACGCCGTGATGTAACTGGAATACTGTTAAAAGCGGCCTTAAACCCAACTCACTCACTCAGTCACTCATGGATAACATCCAGATGATTTTTAAAAAAACACAGAAATCCCATGATATTATCGTGAATATCCCAACATTCAGAATTTTGTCTTGTTATTTTACACTAAGAAACAGGATTGTTAAAAAGAAGAAGTAACTTTAATGAAGTTATTATACGAATATTTAGATAACATGTTAATTTATATCTTGTATGAACTGTTAGTTGTTATGATGCAACAATGCCTGTCCTCAGAATAAAATCGCATGTTGTACTTGTATATGTAATGTTCTTCTGATACCGTGGTCCAAGGCCTGAAAGTAATGAAGTTCAATCAGTTGAAACAATCCTTCATGAATATCTGAATACTGAGAGGAAACTGGTCATTTGCAAAGTGGTTTGATGACAATTATCTTGTGTTAAAAGTGAAAAAAACCAACAGCTAAGGAATTAATAATTGATTTAACATATAAGAAGAACAGCATAACACCTGTCAACGTCAATCACGAGACTTTGGATGCTTTTACGGAATATAAATATTTAGTTACATGTGTAGGTAATAAGATACACTGGCATATTATCACTGATGCTGTTTTTAAAGAAATGTCAACAGAGGTTACATGTTTTGCGTAAATAATGCTCGTTTATGGTTAAGAGAGTATTGTCTCTTTTTTTCGTTAACGTGACTTATAGTTTTCCCGATAGTGCTGCTACGGAGCTCCTGATGATCAAAACAAACCACGCTTGGGCAATATTGCTTTGAAGCTCGTAAGATAGCTGGCTCATTTAAAACAATATCTTACTATCTTCAAAACAATATTGCCCAAGCGTGGTTTGTTTTGATCAGAAAGAGCTTCGTACCAACTTTAAGTCGTCTCCATACAAGATCATTGCTCTCCGTATCAATCACTGGATTGTCTGGTCCAGATTTGATTATTTACAGACCGCCGTCCACAGTGAGTGAGTATGGTTTTGTGTCGCTTTTAGCAATATTCCTACCAGATCACGACGGTAGAGACCAGAAATGGGCTTTATACATTGTACCCCTATGGGGAATCGAGCCCGGGTCTCGGCGCGACGAGCGAATGCTTGCACCACTAGTCTACCCAAAGACGTATATACGTCCGTGGTCTACCCAACCGCTCCACGTGTAAAAAAATGCAACTCGTAGGACGAAAGTCTACATTTCAAACTTCTGTAGAAAATGTAACAATACGCACCTTTGTAACTTCAGACAACATATCACCGCGTATTTGTATTGCCCTTGAGGACATCTGACAATAACTTTATTTCGACAAGAACTTGTTGAAACAAACGTAAAACACTTTCAATAAACTTCGAAAATTCGGCCAGATTAACAAGTTTTCACTATATGATGTATCGAACACCTGTTCTTGTTTTCCTGTCCAACAGTAAATTTATTGGTGTCATGGGACCAGTAAGACAAGGAATCAGGACTGTGACATCTTGTACTAATTAACGACACCTGAACGACAGGTTGAACCCCGATGTATGTGTGTGCTATTTGTCATAAAAATACACTAAAACTCACAAAACACATGTACCTGAACTGTAATCAGGTGATTTATCCATGCCTCTTTCATTGTCAGGTGATAAATATAATGCGAAATTAATGGTGGAAAGTTGACGATGCATCAAGCGTTCTTGTCCCTCAAGTCACTTTCTGGGGAGCATCTCAAAAGTATTCTGTCAGTACGTTGGATAATTATCAATTATGCATGAGAGCAATATATTGTTTTATGGACCAAAGAAACCGAGGCCAGCGGCCTAGGTCAATATCAATTTCTTTGGTCCATAAAACATATTTCCCAAACCGAGGTCAATTATAATTAATGTTTTGTAACATAAAATAAAAACAAGAATATTTCAAATTCAACAAAAGTTGAATGCGTTGTCACGGGAAGTCACAGGAAGTCACTACAACAAGTCATGCGTTACGGTGTCGCTGATTGGCTGAAAATATTTCTTTCCTGTGAGCCCATTGGCTTAATCACGCAGGGCAATACCACTTTTGATCGCTGCACGGCAGGGTGGCATTCGTCACCACTCGCCCCTTTCCGTAACCTGCAAGAAGCTATTCGGCTTGTCCCGGAATAACACAAGTTGGTCACGAATGGGCAGGGTGGGTCTCAGGGCAAGACCGTGTTTTAAAGAAGCCAATGTGACCCTTTGCCAACCAATGGAAATACAGATATAATTTGTAAGTGAATAACGACATTCAACCATTGCTATTATACATCTTCTTGTCAGTTTAAGCAATTAATACAGTGAGAGTTTTAATAGAAAGATTTACACATCGCAGGATCTTCCGGTAATTGTATCACCCAAGTGCCTTCAGTATGTATCATAATACAATGTATAATATATGTGTATAAGATATTCATAATTTAATGGATGTACAATACACCAAATAATGGTGGGCAATCCACTGGAGATTGTATATATTCCACCAACTTCTTTTTAATTACTTGTTTGGTTTGCGGACCCTCGATTCATAAACTCTCATTTTCTTAGGAGACATGTCCATTTTATTCACATTTCATGGAAAGACTTTATGCTGCAACTTTTCCATCAATGTTTCAAAATCAATGACCTGGTTAATTGGTAATAGTATGTCGTATGTAGTATTTTTAAAAATGAGAACACGTTTGTTTTCTACCAAACGAGGAGTAGGACCTTAACCTGTCGTTTTCAGTTCATTCGGCCGACTATAGGTTTAAGAGATATCATTTTTGTCAGTTCATTTTATCCCTATGTTGTTGTTTATGTGAATCCGAGGAAATGAAACAAGACCACATTACAAACAATAAAATTAAAGGAATTAAGATTTTTTTAAAGAAATAGAATTGTTGTTAAACAGCTTACCTTTGAGATTCCCTTTGGTGTAACTTATTTTTAAACAAACGCTATATGGTAACGTCTTAAAATGTAGGGTCGTTAATGATACGTCCCCTAACTTGTTTTGTCTTTCCACAAGAAATACTTCCTCGAGAAGCTCATGATCAATCAAACACTGTGACCTAGGTTTTCATTGGTCCTAAATATAACATCAACTTCAACCTTGAAGATTTCCGCTTCTTTGTTCTCGCTCGACATACAAACAGTACAGCACGAGCGACAGTCACGTGACTAGTACAAGTGTGACGTAACGAAACAGTGACGTTGTTGAGTGACAGGTGTACATGAACAGGGATCTCAGACTCTCCGTTTACGTCTGTAACTTGTGGAATGCGACAGTAAATATTTACCTGACTAGTAATTGAACTGTTTGCACTGATGAATTACTGTCGGCCCTTTATTGCCGACAATAGCAGCAAGAATACCGATGCAGTGTTAAGCTTTAATCACTCACTCACTCATAGGTGTAAAATCGACAAATGTTTGAAGATCGACAAAATTAAAGCTTTAAGTGGCGTGAAGCTAAACTCATTCATTCAATGACCTTTTAATGCCCATCGATGCATAAATGTTTATTCTGAAGTAAATTCATTAGAAAGTATATCCCCATGCTTGATTATGATTTAAAATGAAACAAAGAAGAAATGGTTATTCGATGGTGATGTATTTGATACAGGTATCATAGTTGTATATTGGACCTTAAGTCTGCAGTGTTTCAGCGACTGTTGTTAGCCTAGTAACGTTTTGATAACCTTTGTAATTGTTTGATCAAATGCATTTGAAGTGTTTACTTTCTTTGGCCCTGCAGTGTAATACTCTTGACAGTGTTTTAATATGTTCTTTAGTAACAGTTTTTTTTATCATATTTTGGTTTGTTTGACGGAGGTCTGTAAACAGAAGTTTCTGTATCATGTCAAACAGTGATTGATATTATGAACAACGACCCACGCCGTCGGGGCCCGAAGACACGTCATCAATATCGTCACAAGTTATGACAAGACACGGAAAAGATCCGAAAACAGGCTTTCGTGTTATAAGTTAAGCTTTGTTAATTAACCAATTAACCGAGTATCCTTTATCTTGGGTTAGAAAGTGCTTGGATCTCTGCTAACTTCATGTATAAAAGTGCAAAAAGTAAAACAAATTTCTATTTTTCTTTTTTGAGTGAGTGAGTGAGTGAGTTGGGTTTAACGCCGCTTTTAACAGTATTCCAGTTATATCGCGGCGTGTCAGCTTAATGTGGGAGGGAAAGCCCGAAGTGATGCAGGTCTCAGACGTTTACCACTTCGGTGAAACCCACGAGCACAGGTATGGTGCTGACAAACCTAGAAACATAATCGGGGCGAACCGGGATTCGAACCCACAATCATGGGTTTCTGGCGTTTCCAAGGGACGCAACTCTGCACAGCGAATCGCGGCGCCTTAGACGACTGGGCCACCCGTGTCCCCTTTTCTTTTTTGACGCAAACCAGAACTGAGAATCAAGTTTTTGATAGGCATTTAGAAGTGATACACATAAAGATGAGAATTTATGAATGAGAATGATGAAGGAGTAAGTATATACTCCGAAACGTTGTGTTCCTCATAATAAGGGGCGGTCGGGTAGCCTTGTGGTTAAAGCGTTCGCTCGTCACGCCCAAGACCTGGGTTCGATTCCCGACGTGGGTACAATGTGTGAAGCCCATTTCTGGTGTCTCCCGCCGTGATATTGCTGGAATATTGCTAAAAGCGGCGTAAAACCATACTCACTCACTCATAATTAAGAAGATGACATCCATAAATTCTCTTCCTCAGAACAGAGAATGTTTGCCGCAAACCAGAGCGTAGGATGTTTCAACCAACTTCTCAAAGTATTTATATCCTGACGCTTACCATGCACTTCCCTAGAGCCACAGACATGTGTAGATGCTAGACACCAGCCTGTGGTCTATATCTCATTCGTGACCAACTCGTGTTATTCCGTGACAATAGCTTGCAGGTTACGGAAAGAGGCGAGTCTATATATCTCATATCTAGTGCATTTTGTACGACTACATCCACCCTTGTATCATAATATAAGAAATAACTTCTTCCCATCATTGATCTGATTAAATACCAAAGAAAATAGCTTTTAAAGCATGCCAAGGCCATTGAGGACATCTTGATGACGGTGATAATCATGACAAATCATCACCGATGTGAAACGTTGTCCTCATCTTCCCATGCGAGTGACAACCCTCTCATAAAGTCTCCATGATTGACACACATCATTTGTCATGGATCACACGAACCTTCTACGGCATTTGCGCATGCGTGACGTCACGGAGAAGACAATAGACGAATTAGCCAATCAATCTTCAGAGTGCATGCGTCACCTTTGTGGATCCGAGGCTATATATGTAGATGTGGCGTGTTCCGAAGCAGTGACAACTTGGACCGGTCTTGTTGGTGTTGTATCAGACAGGCAATTCAAGGTGAGGAAAGACAATGAATACCAGCGTTAGAAAATCATATTTACCTATTAATTACATGTTAAATAATTTGATTGTGGCATGTATTTATCAAATTATTTTACTATACAATAAACGCTTGTTTAAGCATACCTGTAGTGACATGTTAAATAATGGTTTTGTGGTGGATGAATTTTTCAGAAATTTTAAACTTTGAAATTGACGCTTCTTTAAGTATGGTTTTATTGAATTTTGCTTTATTGTGTGCTTGTATAGTTGTGCCTATTACATGGTAGCCTTGGGTTAGAATAGGTCTACAGTAACCTATGCTGGTCGTAAGAGGCGACACAGTTGATCGTGTGGTCAGGCTCGGTTGTTTCATACTGTGTAGCCGCCTCCGTGGTCTTGTGGTAGAGCGTTCGCCCGGAGAGCGGAAGGTCCGGGGTTCGATCCCCGGCCGCGTCATACCAAAAGACGTTAAAAGATGGTACTTGTTGTTACCCTGTCTGGCGCCCGACATTAAGGGGCTAAAACAAGGACTGGTCGGCTCGGAGTCAGTATACTGTGTCTGAGTGGGGTATTCATGTTAAACTGCGGCATGGTATCTCAGTGAGCTAGCACTATAAATCGGCATCAGTCCAGACTAGTACAAGCAGCCACAGACACACACGTGCATAAGTGCAATAATCTTGGACGCGACGTTAAACCCAATTTCACCTCACCTCATACTGTGTAACAATGTAACCGTGTAACCATGTAACCGTGTAACTAAGTAACCGTGTAACCGTACCCCAACGGCACGGATCATAGCTCTCCGTATCAATCACTGGATTATCTGGTCCAGATTTGATTATTTACAGACCGCCGTCATATAGCTGGAATATTGCTGCGTGCGGTGTTAAACAGCACACAAACATACAAATATCACACAGTAGCTATCATTCAGCACAACATTTATGAAGGGGCTGACTGTTCAACAACATGGACGTTCTGACACGGAGAGACATAGGATATGTAGTAGGGGTGATCGTTCAATTTCGAGACAATCAAATTCCAAGATAGCAGAACACAAATGTATACATCATGGTATAAAGTGTTAAGGGGTACGGGTGGCCCAGTCGTCTAAAGTGCTGCAATTCGCTGTGCAGAGTTACGTCGATTGGCCACGCCAGGAACCTATGATTGTTGGGTTCGAATCCCGATTCGCTCCGATTATGTTTTACAGGTTTGTCAGCACCATACCCGTGCTCGTGGGTTTCACCGAAGTATTAAACGTCTGCATCACTTCGGACTTTCCTCTCAAATTAAGCTAATTATAACACGCCATGATATAACTGGAATACTGTTAAAACGGCGTTAAACCCAACTCACTTACCCACTATTAAATGTTTGACCATTTATTTTTCAGAGAGCTGTGTAGGAATATGAAAAACGTATTATTTTGCCTAGTGTTTGGCGCAATATTGGACTTCTCGTCGGCCAGATATATAGCCGTTCCTCTGAACCGTGAGTATATTCGTTTTATTTTTGGAATCGATCGCACAAATGAAACCCTGGTTAGATTATACCCCATGCCTGCCCTGTGAGACATCGTAATAGTATCGAGTGTTCAGGGTCTGTGTTTTGGCTGATCGCGAATCGTTCCCAAGCAGCGTTGGACATTGCTCATTCTTTCAGTCACTGGTTTGCCGGGCCCATACTCATTTATTTACAGGCCGCTGTCATCCAGCAAAACAACGTAAAACAGCGTAGAACAACAAATAAACACGAATTGAATGATTATTTAAGTAATCTACCCTTACTTTCTGATTGATTTAATCTGCAAATAAACTGTAATATATTTTGGGGGGGAAATACTTCATGGTCAAGTTCTGCTTTTCTCTTTTGCAATACAATGGGGTTTTTTAAATATATTTCAGTGCCCAACTTGTAGGCTGAAGCGCTTTATCTTAATTAGTATTACTGAATTCAATTCTACAGGAAACACACGAGCTACAGGTGGATATCCTTGGCAGCGTGGAACCCAGATCTCAGGGCATGCTAATGCTGGACATGGGACCAGCCAAGGGCAGACAACCCATGTGATACATACTTCAGAACCGCTGCATAATGGTGGGATGACGTCATCCGGAAGCGGATACAACCAGCCCATAACAGTCCAGCATGGTCAACATTCTACAGGCACATATCAAGGCGGAATAGGGTCTAGGCAATCCTTGCCTTCATCTCACCTGTCGGGTCAACCGCAGACAACTCACGTGATACATACTTCAGAGCCACTGCATAATGGCGGGATTCCAATAACAGTCCAGCATGGTCAACATTCTACAGGCACATATCAAGGCGGTATTCGGCCTGGTCAATCCTTACCCACATCTCACCTGTCGGGTCAACCCCAGAAAACACACGTGATACATACTTCAGAGCCACTGCATAATGGCGGGATGCCAATAACAGTCCAGCATGGTCAACATTCTACAGGCACATATCAAGACGGTATTCGGCCTGGTCAATCCTTACCCACATCTCACCTGTCGGGTCAACCCCAGAAAACTCACGTGATACATACTTCAGAGCCACTGCATAATGGTGGGATGACGTCAGCAAGAATACCTGGTCAAGCATTCCCCTCATCCCAGCTGCCGAGCCAATCATTCCAGATATCTGATCCTGCTTTCCCTTCACAACCTGTTGGACCCCGTGACCCATCTGCACCGGCGCTGTCATCATTCTCTTCGATTCAAAACCTCTACCGGGATAGTTTGTCAGGAGGTCAAGAAAGACCCCTCAACAGCCCAATTGAGATGTCGTCTGCGCATGACAAGAGAATTGATGGAGGTCTCGCAGCCGGAGCGCCACCTGCCGGCGACCTGACGTCCTTCTCCTCGTTACAGAACCTTTACCAGTCTTCTACAGGTGGAGGAGCTGGTGCCCCGGTGATCCCAGCAAAGAAAGCAGGCCTCCTCGACGGCAAGGACATTTACCAGCAAGGCCTGGCAACAGGACAGGAGCTGTACAGGAACAGGAACACTGCGTCCTCTGGCCAGACAGGATACCCAGGACATCCTTCAAATGTTCCAAAAAGCGTTGATCAAGGAACACAGGTAAACTTGTTAAATGCCTCTCATTTATATTGCAATATTTATGCCACTGATTATTCTAGGGCAGAATAAGTAGCCAATAGTCAATACTGTTCTACCAAAAGAGTCGACAGAAATAACGATCGGGTGGCCACAATGTGTGTCCAGTATGCCATAGGACTAGCCTCACTTTAAAAAACGTTTTCATATCGTAATTTTAAACTATTTAATACTGATCAAAATTTTCATTTTAATCTGTAAATTAAAAGGCACCTGGGAGGTTAATTTGTACTCAAATGTTCTCAACACACGACTTCATAAATATATGAGCATTATAAAGCAATTATGGATTATTGTTACAGATTATCAGAGACTCTTCCTATCCACACGGAAAGCCCCTTGGTGGCCTTGTGGTCCCCACTGGAGAAATAGGGCCTGACCCCTCCTACCCTGGTGGAAAGCCGGTTGTGGGCCCCACTAGTCATCACGGAACGCCATTGGTGGACCCAACACATTCTCATGGATCTCCCCTCGCTGGCCCATCTCATTCACACGGGACGCCCTTAGTTGACGCACCTTTATCTCACGGGACGCCCTTCGTTGATCCAGCCATATCTCACGGGACGCCCTTAGTTGATCCATCCATATCTCACGGAACGCCCTTCGTTGATCCAGCCATATCTCACGGGACGCCCTTCGTTGATCCAGCCATATCTCACGGAACGCCCTTCGTTGATCCAGCCATATCTCACGGGACGCCCTTAGTTGATCCAGCCATATCTCACGGAACGCCCTTCGTTGATCCAACCATATCTCACGGGACGCCCTTCGTTGATCCAACCTTATCTCACGGGACGCCCTTCGTTGATCCAGCCATATCTCACGGGACGCCCTTCGTTGATCCAGCCATATCTCACGGGACGCCCTTAGTTGATCCAGCCATATCTCACGGGACTCCTTTCGTTGATCCAAATCATTCTCACGGGACGCCCTTAGTTGACACAATCATATCTCACGGGACTCCTTTCGTTGATCCAAATCATTCCCACGGGACGCCCTTAGTTGACACAACCATATCTCACGGGACTCCTTTCGTTGACCCTTCTCATGGTCTCGGAGACCCTATTATTAATCCTGCTAACGGCCCCGGATTTGTTGATCCTGCTTTGGTCGACCCTCGTCTCGACGGACCTGGTCCTATCCTGCCTGGGCCAGTTTCGGGACAACCTGGACCCAGTTTCAGCCAGTCTGGACCAAATCCAGGCGAACCTTCTACACCGGGTCTCGGCCAGCCTTGGCAGGGTCGTGCACCAACTCGACACATCCTCCCCAGACCAACCCCACAAGCTTTCGTTGAAACAGGAGGACCTACAATAGAAAACGTAGTGGGCAGAGATCAACTCGCAAATGATCCTTTTGGACCCGCCGCTGGTCGTCCTGGAGATTCAAGGCTGCCACGGGGACCTGGCGGTCCAAACTCCGGGACAGTGCCGCTGATGAACCCGGTGATGCCAAGTACATCGCAAGATCTCCTCGTGTTCACAAATCAGCCAGACAGTTGGGTGTGGTCAGGTGGTGATGTGACTGGTCAGCTCAGGAACTTCAGACCCCATAGGGCTCCTCAGTGAGCAACACTTTGAGAGAGAGACACACACACTACCTTGGTAGAAAGTCACAACATATGACGAGTTTCTCAAGATACTCGCAAGATACTCGCAAGATACTCAGGGTTTCGCGAGTCCTCTGACCCTGTTCACAAGAGACGTTTAAAATTATAAAAATAATTACTCTTGGTGGGGTCAATATGCTAAAACAAGGACCCGAGGACCTGACCCTTGAGGTGGTCTGCCCGGACCGAGCGAGGCCGCAGTGTCAGTCACATGATTTCGGGATCTACATTGAAATGTATTGTTTCGTCACGTGGTGCAAGATTCTTTAAGAGGTATAACAATATATAATACTTACGGAACAAGGCTGTCCCTGGAGTGCTGTCGCCCTTAAGTCAATTTATATGTGATAATTCAGGAAAAGTGCTGTTGTTTGTGAACTCATTGTGTAACTTTGATCAAGGTTACACTAACCTCTGTGTCGTTGAACGTTACATCGAAATCCATTGAATCTGGTATAGAACTCTGTATACCTACATACCACGACATTAGTTTTATCTTGATTATTATGATCTGATATTGTAATAAACGTATGCAACAATATTTCTGATCTTGGACATTTTGATATTTTGCATGGACATTTTGATATTTTGCAAGGAGGTGGTGAGGTGAAATTAGGTTTAACGTGGCGTTCAAGGTTATTTGCACTTATATAGTGTCGTGGATGTACCTGTGTGTGTGTCCTAGTCACGACTAATGCCGGTTTTCTAGTGCTAGTCCACTGAGATAACGTTGATACCCCGCTCAGACACAGTACACAGTCCTTGTGTTATACCCTAATGCCGATCTCCAGGCAGGGTAACAACAAGTACCATCTTTTGAAATAACCACCGACCTTCCACTCTCCGGTCACACTATCAACTAGACCACGGGGGCGGTCCTGATATTTTCGGTGAAAGATGATTAAAGAAATATAACAATGTATTAAATACTGACGCGACAAAACCTGGCCTCAAATACTGACGCGACAAAACCTGGCCTCAAATACTGACGCGACAAAACCTGGCCTCAAATACTGACGCGACAAAACCTGGCCTCAAATACTGACGCGACAGAACCTGGCCTCAAATACTGACGCGACAAAACCTGGCCTCAAATACTGACGCGACAAAACCTGGCCTCAAATACTGACGCGACAGAACCTGGCCTCAAATACTTAAACGACAAATGGATGTTAAAACATGACTGATATAACTGATAATGTCATCGACAACACATACTAAGAGAACATTAAATGATTAATCACCAGAAGGTGTCGGGTCACATCTGATGATTGATTAGCATATATCGTCGTGAAATGTCTTTGTCACACACCCATTACTGTAAGTGCGTAACTGTTTGTGAGAGTGTTATAAACAGGATTGAACCGCCGTGAAATGTCTTTGTCACACACCCATTACTGTAAGTGTGTGACTGTTTGTGTGAGTGTTATAAACAGGATTGAACCGCCGTGAAATGTCTTTGTCACACACCCATTACTGTAAGTGCGTGACTGTTTCTGTGAGAGTTATAAACAGGATTGAACCGCACTGAAATGTCTTTGTGCCACACCCATTACTGTAAGTGCGTAACTGTTTGTGAGAGTGTTATAAACAGGAATGAACGGCCGTGAAATGTCTTTGTGACACACCCATTACTGTAAGTGCGTGACTGTTTGTGAGAGTGTTATAAACAGGATTGAACCGCCGTGAAATGTCTTTGTCACACACCCATTACTGTTAGTGTGTAACTGTTTGTGTGAGTGTTATATACAGGGGTGAACCGCCGAGAAATGTCTTTGTGACACACCCATTACTGTAAGTGCGTGACTGTTTGTGAGAGTGTTATAAACAGGATTGAACCGCTGTGAAATGTCTTTGTGACACACCCATTACTGTAAGTGCGTAACTGTTTGTGTGAGTGTTATAAACAGGATTGAACCGCCGTGAAATGTCTTTGTCACACACCCATTACTGTAAGTGCGTAACTGTTTGTGTGAGTGTTATAAACAGGATTGAACCGCCGTGAAATGTCTTTGTCACACACCCATTACTGTAAGTGCGTAACTGTTTGTGTGAGTGTTATAAACAGGATTGAACCGCCCTGAAATGTCTTTGTGACACACCCATTACTGTAAGTGCGTAACTGTTTGTGTGAGTGTTATAAACAGGATTGAACGGCCGTGAAATGTCTTTGTCACACACCCATTACTGTAAGTGCGTAACTGTTTGTGTGAGTGTTATAAACAGGATTGAACGGCCGTGAAATGTCTTTGTCACACACCCATTACTGTAAGTGCGTAACTGTTTGTGTGAGTGTTATAAACAGGATTGAACCGCCGTGAAATGTCTTTGTCACACACCCATTACTGTAAGTGCGTAACTGTTTGTGTGAGTGTTATAAACAGGATTGAACCGCCGTGAAATGTCTTTGTCACACACCCATTACTGTAAGTGCGTAACTGTTTGTGTGAGTGTTATAAACAGGATTAAAACCGCCGTGAAATGTCTTTGTCACACACCCATTACTGTAAGTGCGTAACTGTTTCTGTGAGAGTTATAAACAGGATTGAACCGCCGTGAAATGTCTTTGTCACACACCCATTACTGTTAGTGTGTAACTGTTTGTGTGAGTGTTATATACAGGATTGAACCGCCGAGAAATGTCTTTGTGACACACCCATTACTGTAAGTGCGTGACTGTTTGTGAGAGTGTTATAAACAGGATTGAACCGCTGTGAAATGTCTTTGTGACACACCCATTACTGTAAGTGCGTAACTGTTTGTGTGAGTGTTATAAACAGGATTGAACCGCTGTGAAATGTCTTTGTCACACACCCATTACTGTAAGTGCGTAACTGTTTGTGTGAGTGTTATAAACAGGATTGAACGGCCGTGAAATGTCTTTGTCACACACCCATTACTGTTAGTGTGTAACTGTTTCTGTGAGTGTTATAAACAGGATTGAACCGCCCTGAAATGTCTTTGTCACACACCCATTACTGTAAGTGCGTAACTGTTTGTGTGAGTGTTATAAACAGGATTGAACGGCCGTGAAATGTCTTTGTCACACACCCATTACTGTAAGTGCGTAACTGTTTGTGTGAGTGTTATAAACAGGATTAAAACCGCCGTGAAATGTCTTTGTCACACACCCATTACTGTAAGTGCGTAACTGTTTCTGTGAGAGTTATAAACAGGATTGAACCGCCGTGAAATGTCTTTGTGACACACCCATTACTGTAAGTGCGTAACTGTTTGTGTGAGTGTTATAAACAGGATTGAACCGCCCTGAAATGTCTTTGTCACACACCCATTACTGTAAGTGCGTAACTGTTTGTGTGAGTGTTATAAACAGGATTGAACCGCCGTGAAATGTCTTTGTCACACACCCATTACTGTAAGTGCGTAACTGTTTGTGTGAGTGTTATAAACAGGATTAAAACCGCCGTGAAATGTCTTTGTCACACACCCATTACTGTAAGTGCGTAACTGTTTCTGTGAGAGTTATAAACAGGATTGAACCGCCCTGAAATGTCTTTGTGACACACCCATTACTGTAAGTGCGTAACTGTTTCTGTGAGAGTTATAAACAGGATTGAACCGCCGTGAAATGTCTTTGTCACACACCCATTACTGTTAGTGTGTAACTGTTTGTGTGAGTGTTATATACAGGGGTGAACCGCCGAGAAATGTCTTTGTGACACACCCATTACTGTAAGTGCGTGACTGTTTGTGAGAGTGTTATAAACAGGATTGAACCGCTGTGAAATGTCTTTGTGACACACCCATTACTGTAAGTGCGTAACTGTTTGTGTGAGTGTTATAAACAGGATTGAACCGCCGTGAAATGTCTTTGTCACACACCCATTACTGTAAGTGCGTAACTGTTTGTGTGAGTGTTATAAACAGGATTGAACGGCCGTGAAATGTCTTTGTCACACACCCATTACTGTTAGTGTGTAACTGTTTCTGTGAGTGTTATAAACAGGATTGAACCGCCCTGAAATGTCTTTGTCACACACCCATTACTGTAAGTGCGTAACTGTTTGTGTGAGTGTTATAAACAGGATTGAACGGCCGTGAAATGTCTTTGTCACACACCCATTACTGTAAGTGCGTAACTGTTTGTGTGAGTGTTATAAACAGGATTAAAACCGCCGTGAAATGTCTTTGTCACACACCCATTACTGTAAGTGCGTAACTGTTTCTGTGAGAGTTATAAACAGGATTGAACCGCCGTGAAATGTCTTTGTGACACACCCATTACTGTAAGTGCGTAACTGTTTCTGTGAGAGTTATAAACAGGATTGAACCGCCGTGAAATGTCTTTGTGACACACCCATTACTGTAAGTGCGTAACTGTTTGTGTGAGTGTTATAAACAGGATTGAACGGCCGTGAAATGTCTTTGTCACACACCCATTACTGTAAGTGCGTAACTGTTTGTGAGAGTGTTATAAACAGGATTGAACGGCCGTCAAATGTCTTTGTCACACACCCATTACTGTTAGTGTGTAACTGTTTGTGTGAGTGTTATAAACAGGATTGAACCGCCCTGAAATGTCTTTGTGACACACCCATTACTTTAAGTGCGTAACTGTTTCTGTGAGAGTTATAAACAGGATTGAACCGCCTTGAAATGTCTTTGTCACACACCCATTACTGTAAGTGCGTAACTGTTTGTGAGAGTGTTATAAACAGGATTGAACGGCCGTGAAATGTCTTTGTGACACACCCATTACTGTAAGTGCGTAACTGTTTGTGTTAGTGTTATAAACAGGATTGAACGGCCGTGAAATGTCTTTGTCACACACCCATTACTTTAAGTGCGTAACTGTTTCTGTGAGAGTTATAAACAGGATTGAACGGCCGTGAAATGTCTTTGTGACACACCCATTACTGTAAGTGCGTAACTGTTAGTGTGAGTGTTATAAACAGGATTGAACCGCTGTGAAATGTCTTTGTGACACACCCATTACTGTAAGTGCGTAACTGTTAGTGTGAGTGTTATGAACAGGATTGAACGGCCGTGAAATGTCTTTGTCACACACCCATTACTGTAAGTGTGTAACTGTTTGTGTGAGTGTTATAAACAGGATTGAACCGCCGTGAAATGTCTTTGTCACACACCCATTACTGTAAGTGTGTAACTGTTTGTGTGAGTGTTATAAACAGGATTGAACCGCTCTGAAATGTCTTTGTCACACACCCATTACTGTAAGTGTGTAACTGTTTCTGTGAGTGTTATAAACAGGATTGAACCGCCGTGAAATGTCTTTGTCACACACCCATTACTGTAAGTGCGTAACTGTTTGTGTGAGTGTTATAAACAGGATTAAAACCGCCGTGAAATGTCTTTGTCACACACCCATTACTGTAAGTGCGTAACTGTTTGTGTGAGTGTTATAAACAGGATTAAAACCGCCCTGAAATGTCTTTGTCACACACCCATTACTGTAAGTGCGTAACTGTTTGTGTGAGTGTTATAAACAGGATTAAAACCGCCCTGAAATGTCTTTGTCACACACCCATTACTGTAAGTGTGTAACTGTTTGTGTGAGTG